TCGGTTGAAGGGCGTGCTGCACGAGGAAATCTCGCCCGGCACCTCATATTCTCCTGTCGTCGCGCCAGTTTTTTTTTATGGTTTACTTTAGTGTGTTCACGTCGATAGTGCACTGGTCAGGATTTGAACCCACGATCTCTTGATCGCAAGTCGAACTAGGCTACCCCCGCTTTATAGTTTAGGGGCAGCGATAAACATCCCCTACGATGGCTTTGCCAATCCCTGACCAAGATCATGTCACCGCGTGAAGGCACCAAGTTGGTGGTCAGAAGGCAGTCAGAGATCCCGAAAAGGATCAAAGCTGGAATCCTGGTGCCACAAAACCAACCAAGCACACTAGCCAACTGGGCCCTCTACCATGCCGAAGCACAGGAGGAGAAGAAATGCCTCTTCCTGGTGCTCGGCATCCCAGAGGATGACGTCCTCAAATTAAACCTCTACGTTCGCTTCCTTGGCGAACGTAGACCCACCAACTAACCCGAATGAAGTGCCAGAAATGGCCCTACACCACCCTAAAGACGGCAGTGGAGGTGATCTACCAAAGCCCGTCGAGGAACCAGCCCCACATGGTCCACCTCCTGAGGAGATGCACAACCCATCTGCGGGCGAGAGTGACCTGGACGACATGACATGATGGATATACTAAGCAGCGATGATGGCGCTGTCAGCACCCTCCCCCACTAACACCCTCGAAACCATCTACATCAACCTCTAGCACAGTCAGACAACAACGGCTAACCTACTCAGGGTGCTGGAGGTAAACACCAAGACCGTAGCCCTAATCCGTGAGCCGTGGATTAGGAAGGGCAGGATCTGCGGACTAAACAATATTGGTGGTTGCCGGGCGATGCTAACATCTCCACTCCGGAGCTGGCTGCGCTGGCACATCACTGCGAGCGTGAGGGTCTGGAGTTGATCATCTCTGCTGACACCAACGCGCATCATGCACTGTGGGGTAGCAGGAGTAACAACAAGAGAGGTGAGGAATTTGTATCGTTCCTATTATCAACCAACTGAACATTATCAACATACGCTCGGAGCCGACATTTGTCACATCCAGAGCCCAAACTATTATTGATCTAACATGAGCAACTGAGCATGCATCACAACACATCTCGAATTGGCATGTTTCGATCGAAGCATCGTGCTTGGACCATCGCTGGATCAAATTCAATTTTGAAATGAATCTCAAATCACCCGATCTACGACGAAACCCCGTAAGATGGAAAACGGTATGGTACGGTACGGAAACGGTATGAGCATCTTACCGCGGAAAAATTGCGGCGTATTGACTCAACATACGCTGAGGGAGCTGTTAAAGATATTGATAATCATGTTGTTAACACACAAACACTAATCGATTGCTTTGAACAAACATGTCCGCTTTCTATACCAAGAAGTGATCCGCAGAACAAACACCAGTGGCGGGGAACCGGAACTGGAAAGACTACGTCCCAAGGTGAGAAAGTTGTTCAATAAAACAAAAAACTCTCGCTTAGACCAACACTGAGATGCCTATACGCAGGACCGGCAACAATACAATAAGCGAATCAGAACCAGGAAAACTGTGGGCTGGAGAAGCTTCTGTACCAACATAGAGAATAACAACCAGGCCAACAGAGTCAAAAACATATTGTGTAGCAGAGGCGAACACAATCTTGGCTCACTAAAGAAGACTGATGGTGAGTATACCCAGGATATCTCATAACAGATGTAATGGAAACGTGGGAAAACAGGGGGGAAAAACACCAGACGAAACAGACTGGGAGACAGCCCTCTAAATTGTAAAACACGACAAACTTAGATGAGATATTAACAGCTTCCTTCTATTCAAGGCGCCAGGACTTGATGGTATCTTCCCAGGCCTGCTGTGATGGTGAAACGTGACGCTTCTAGATTACCTTGTTAAAATCTACAGAGACTGCTTGGCACACCATTACATCCCCTTGAAATGGAGAGAAGTCAAAGTAGTCTTCATCCCCAAACCGGGCAAAGGTGACTACACACAACCAAAATCACACCGACCTATCAGTCCAGTGACAGATAGCCTCACCTGTCACCCCCAGGCCTGCGCTTATTGAGGATGGAGGTCCTTCTGTGACCTCCGGCGCCCTTGTCGTCTGCGGTACCTGGCCCGTTCCCGGGCTTGGCGGGCCACGAGAGTTCTAAACCTCTCCCGGTCCCGCTTCGCTATCTCCTTCGCAACTTGCTCGCAGAATGAGACGGTGGAGTTCCACACACTCTCGCTCCGTACCATGGCCGCAATCATACTACCGAGCGAGACGACTCCCTCTCCACGGCCACCACGAGGTCACGCCTCTGCTCCACCCTCGCCGGGCATTCTGCCAACGTGTCTAAGGCCGTGTCCACGGTCAGGCCATCGTAATGGTGGCATTCAGGCGTTGGCTCCTTGCGGATCAGACACAGGTGATCTCCGAAACAACCTTTCCCGGTGATCACCTGCGTCAGCCGGTATGAGAGGGTTCCGTGACGCCTCTCGAGCCAATCCTCTATAATGGTCTTACCGCCGCAGTAACGGCATGCCGGGCGCTCGGTTGCCCAAGTCGCTTCTTCCACTCCTCTACGAGGACCCGGTGGAGTTGGGATTTCTGGTACTCGATTTCTCGAGTCTCAGGACTCCGACCCAACTCCCGCGCCTCTTTGCGCCACTGATAAAGAGCCGCAAGGGCTCTCGCCTCCAGGTCCCACGGAGGAGTTCCGGCCAGGAGACTCGCCGCCTCAAAGGAGATCGTGCGATACCCCCTTATGACCCTGATGGCCAGCACTCGCTGCGGTCGTCGCGTATTGCGACGTTACCCTAGTTGTTCGCCTGGTGGCACAGCTGACGATAATTTTAGCCATTGTAACACGACAAAATAAAATATTTCGACATTTTCATTACTAATTATATCAATAATAATTATTAATTAATTTGATAATTAATTAATTACTAAGAGGCGTGTGTTGAAGCATATGTGACTTACTTTCTACTTTTTTAATCTTAATGAGAAAATAATCATCATTAATGACTAAAAACGCAAAAAATAACTATAGTTTAAAAAAACAAAAAACACACTTGTAAGTAGCCGAACTATAAAGTAGAAATCATTTTTTTTAAGTTCTAAAAGAAAAATCGTTTTATCGAAAAAAAAACTTTCTACATATATACAAATAAATAAAATTGAAGTGTCTGTTTGTAATATTAAAATAACCGCTTTTTACTAAATGCATATGTATATCATGTTTACACGGTACATATGCCAAAATAACATTTTTTACAATTTTTGTCTGTCTGTCTGTTTGTTCCGGGTAATCTCTGGAACGGCTGGACCGATTTCGACAGGACTTTCACTGGCAGATAGCTGATGACATAAGGAGTAACTTAGGCTACTTTTTTTAGACTAGCTTCGCCCCGCGGCGTTGCCCGCGGTTATAACAACAAACGCGGGTAACACCGCGGGTCTCAGCTAGTATTTTATAAAACTTGTAATATTTTTACTTTTACTAATATCTATCAATAAAATATTTTTACAATTGAGAATAACATACTAGCACCCCAAGCATTTTTTAAGATAAAATGATTTTTAGATAACTAGCGATCCCCGCCCAGGCTTCGCGCGGGTGTATTATTCGTCCGTCTGAGAATAATGTGTACATAGGTACTATTTATTCGACCACTAAGACACTAAGATAGCTAAAATGAGAGAACATAGTTTCAAAATAGTTTTATAATTAAAAGTAACATATAAAAACATATATTATGCATTAAAGACATTTGCACCAAGCCCAAAAATTAATATTTTCTTTCCATTCATGTAAACATGTGGTACAAAATGTTGCACAAACACACGGGACCTCCTTCATTTTCTAAATGTTTAAATCGAAGAAATATTCACTCACAATTATGGAATAAAAAAAAAACCCTTGTATTATTATATAAGGGTTTTTGAGTATTACCCTTACCTTATATTACTGAAATCGAAGAGTCAAACGCTAATTACTAACTACCCATCCTTGTTACGAAATAGTCTAAATATTGCCATTAACGTTAAAGTTATACCGGTCATAGAAATATAACAAAATTTTATAAATTTTTCGACCACCAGGCGATCTATGATTAAATAAAAACGAAATTTTATTTCTAGACCAGATCATCTTCCCAGAAAAAAGTTAGACTAATATGCGTAACATGGATCATTTCTTTGGGTTGAAATTTGGAGTAACAATCCTGAAACTAAACACGAATACTCTTAGAAAAGAGGAGGGGGAGTTCGTTCATTCATTCATTCTTTATTAGTCTGGTATTGTGTATTAGGTAACCGTTTGCAGATAATTTAATTAATAGTTTGTTGAAATGTTTTCAACAGCCTGATTTTGGTATATCTATCAAAGAGATACAATATTTTCCATAAGATAGATTTATGGATCACGATATTAGAACTTAATTTAAGTAGTTTATCAATAATGCCAAATCTATTTGAATCACAAAAAATAAGTCCAGTGTTGAGTTTTAGTTAACTGTGTAATCAAATTTTGTCAAAAATAGTCAAAGTAGTTTGTGTATTTCTTAACGAAGTAGTCAGATTTCAAATCCAGTAAAATAATACTTGGTCAGAACACTAAATATTACTGGGTTTATACCAGCCTTTGGATTAGAACGTTCTTCACTTACTCCCGTCCTTGGGCCTGGCTACTTAAAACAATACAGCACCTGAGAAAAAATTTACTCATGTACATATTTATGCAATAGGAGAGGCCTATGTCCAGCAGTAGACTGCGATAGGCTGATGATGATGACATATTTATGACTCTTGCTCAATTTGCACTTGTATGATCAATTCTAACTTACCTATATGGATATATTATAAGTTTCGTACCGTACATATAAAGATTTCGAATTGTAACCACATAAGTATAAGTTTGTAAATACTATTTAAATTAAATATGCATTATATAGCAAGCAAACAATAGTTACCCACTCACAAGACGTCTCTTTAACATCAGTCACAGTCTATTTCCGGTGGTTCACATTCACCTACTGCGAAATTAACATGATCATTATGAAACAGTGACTTTCTGTCTCCGTCTGTCCACGGAAATCTCTTTGTAAATCTACGCATGTATTCGAAGTCACGACAGTCTTCAGGGTTCTTCTCAGGTGGATGGTGACTGAACGCGTTTAAAGCTTGCATAATTATCAATGGGAAGGACACAAAAAATACTATGTATTTATATTTCTTCCAGCTGTCCTTTCCAGGAGGAAACCTAGGAACACATGGGTTAGGTGGTATGGGTCCAGGTCGACACTCTGATTGAGGTAGTATCCTTTTCGGGGCACCAGGCTTTGGAGGCAGTGGTGGGCAAGGGTTATTCACGTTTCGCGGCGGGCAACATTGACTATACTGTCTGTGTCCAGAGCTAAACAATTTAAAAACATTTTTAGATCTAAAATGTAACATTTTTTTTTTATTACGCTAAATTTGGATTAACCTGTTATATTCACATTTTCAGATTATAGTTTTGGATGTTTGACGTAAAATTTTGTTTTAATTATATTAAAAAATAATGAGAACATTTTTACAGACAGTAATATTCACCTTAATAGGTTTCAAGCTGTATGTAAACTTTTTAATCAACATAGAGCGGTGTGTGACTTTGTGTAGTACAGAAAGTCGACCTGCTGAAGAAGAGCGCGAGTGGCGTGAGGCCCTTTGCCTAGCCATGATGGCTCGCTGGTCGTGCCGACTGCTGGCTCCATATTCTGGCTTTGCTCTTGTTGAGGCACTCCAGTCGGTAGACGGCCGTACGGGACTGTTTCCTTCCGATTGACGAAGGTCCTTTCCGGGTACAACTGCTTCTTGAAGTACTTGCACTCGGTCGCTAGGAGGGAATTGAGTCCCACCTGTCACCACTGCGACTGCAGTGAGGACTCGGCTCGTCGGGTCCTTACTGCAGTCATCTCTCGCAACCAGCCGTCATACGCTCAGTGGCTGGTACCAAAATGTAACATTTTAAAATCTATTCTTCTATACAAATAAATAAAATTGGAGTGTCTGTTTATAATATTAAAATAACCGCTTTTTACTAAATGCAAATGTATGTTTACACGGTATATATGCCAAAATAACATATTTTACAATTTTTGTCTCTCTGTCTGTCTGTTGGTTCCGGGTAATCTCTGGAACGGCTGGACCGATTTCGACGGGACTTTCACTGGCAGATAGCTGATGACATAAGGAGTAACTTAGGCTACTTTTTTTTGACTAGCTTCGCCCCGCGGCGTTGCCCGCTGTTATAACAACAAACGCGGGTAAGACCGCGGGTCTCAGCTAGTTAAAACATAAAAATCAACCGACCGACTTCAAACAGACTTGAAGTTACTATTGCTATCATAATGTTATAACAACAAACGCGGGTAAGACCGCGGGTCTCAGCTAGTTAAAACATAAAAATCAACCGACCGACTTCAAACAGACTTGAAGTTACTATTGCTATCATAATGTTACCTGTTATATTGAGGGTACTTATCATAATTTTTTTACTTTGATTTGTAATTTTTTTTTTGAATTTTTGGTGCTCTTTGTCGGTATTGTTAGAAGTCGGTTCAACTTTTTTTAAAGATTTATTTTAGCATTTTTAGTGTAAGATATGTTTGTAAAGAGTAGATAAGTACAATATTAAAACACTACGTACCGTAATGTATGTACCAAACTGTAGTATGTTAGATCATACTAAATGTAGTTTAATAAGTACGTTACTTTATTTAGATAAGGTAGTAAGATGTTACATTTGAACCTTGAAATATATTGTTTTCCACATTACTTAATTTTACAAAACTAGGAGCGGTATTTTTGCTTTACATTCGAATGGAACTTAAGGGGAAATATACCCTTCCAAATAAAAAAAAGAATTTTCATAATCGGTTTACAAATGAAAGAGTGTTGAGGTAACAAACATGAAAATATTTTGTAATCTCATATATTACTCTTCTGTGCACATATCTCTGTAACCCAACATAAACAACTAACAAATATCTTGAAAGAAAAAACAAGGTCAACAAACAATACATGATTAGATTTTTGAAAGAGTTATCCTCTAAGACTTAAAGCTCAAGGACCCTTCCATCATCACACATATGTATTCAAACTATTAACAAAAGAAACTTCAGAAAACTGTAGGGCATTCAAGTCCGATTCAGATTGAGATTTTGGCAGTCAATAAAATTAATGAAATGATTTCTTGTTCTTAATGATAGAGGACGATAAATGGCCACAATGCTAGGTGCCTGTTTGACAAAGTAGACAATTTGCACCTGGTTCACCAATTGTACACATTATTTTAGTTTTTGCATATATGATTATATCATCATTTTGGTTTAATGTTACTCTTGTGAAATGAACTGTATAGCCATCCAATAAAGAAAGAAGAAAGAAAGAAAGAAAAAACGTTTAATTTCGCAATAATACAACAGTTTTAACAATTTTGCAGCTTGGATTGCCTTGAGGCCAACGATGCCAAAAACGGACCCAATTCAGCCTTGTGTCAGATGGAAGCCTGACGCTGGTTTTTCAATTGGGCTCAAAATGGTGCTATGCGTAAAACCACTTGCAGATCCTAATTGCTACGCCGTATACATACGTCACAATACGATTAATAAAATATAACAGGTATGCAGATCATGCCAATATACACTACGATATACACAATACACAACAACATAAATCTATATCTATAAAGTGTGCACGCTCTTTATCTTTGACAGCGCTCACGGTAAAACAGGGAAGTGTTCACATTGGCCATATCCAGTCTCCGCTGTGCGTCTATGAGATACCGCCGCAATCTATATTTAAAAGTGCCGATCGTATTTGACGATCTCTTTGGCGGAGGTAAATTGTTCCATATCTTTGAGGCCGCATAGATGTAAAATGGAGAGTTGCCGTAAGCACTGTCTCACCGTACAACTACGTCTATTGAACACCTATTCCAATTTACGAAACAGGTAAACTGGTTCGCGGTGTTTAACAATGCCAAACATTAGTGATCTAAGTGAAGCTCAATCATTTACATACTCATACGGAAATCTCCGTTAACGTGACATAATTGTTATTTAGGAACGGAGTGACGTGAGTTCTTGGTGGTATCTTGAAACAAAAACGGGTGCAAGCATTTTGGATCCTCAGAATCAGCCGATCCGTGCGAGCTAGAAGCCGTGGCCCATACACCGTATCGGCGTAGTTGAATTTTGATAGGACCAACGACTCAACCAGTCGCATTCGCAAGGTCTCGGACAGAAATGGTCGTATCTTGTACAAAATGCTCAACCTATAAAAACAGTTTCGAACTAAGTCAGCAACGCGCTTTTCGAAGCTTAAATTACAATCAAGATTAAGCAGACCAAGATTACGGGCCTCATTCACCCTCTCAATTGACTGCCCCATAAGGGTTATGTTAAAACTGGGAAGTGAGTTTAAGGTACTTTTTGCCGAATATCATGTATTTGTTTTATTTGGATTGAGAACCAATGAATTTCTCTCCTCCTGTACGATTCTGTTCATATCATCATTTAAGTCAGATATAGCTTTCTCGGAATCACTTAACTTAAACGAAATATAAACTTGAATGTCATCGGCATATGTATATATGGTATCGTGAATTAATCAAACATTTTGTTATATCCGCGCAGTAAATACTAAAGAGAATAGGTCCTAATATTGATCCCTGAGGAACCCCCCTTGTAACAGGGGTGAGTTCAGAAACCACTGATCCACCCCTCCATCAAGATGCAGTTCCACACCCTGACATAGACCTGACAGATAGCTATGGAACTATTTAACTGCATTACTGGCGATCCCGTAGTATTTAAGCTTTGACAGCAACAAACATGTATTAATGCTAATAATGGAAATCCAATAAAACAAGCAAAGTACACATGCCCTGGTCTTGTGCTAATAAGATATTATCAGTCACGTCAAGCAAGGCAGTAGCGGTCCCTCGACCCTTTCTAAACCCGGACTGAACCGGTAAAATTGCGTTTTTCTCTAAATACTCAGACAACTGAGCGCAGACTACCTTTTCTATAACTTTTGACAAACACGGCAGTATACTTATAGGCCTTAAGTCTTTTACATCAACCGGGCTAGTGGTTTTAGGCAGCGGCCTGACAGTAGCGATTTGCCAGATATCGGGAAAGGTTGCCGTCTTTACGGAGGTATTCACTGCTTTCTATATGTATCTACTTATTACAAACGTATCTCACACTAAAAATGGGAAAATAAATCTTTAAGAAAAAAGTCTATCCTATTTCAAACAATACTAACAAAGAGCATTAAAAATTAAAATAATATTATAAAACTAATTGAAAAAAAACAAAATAAGTACGACCCTCAATATAACAGGTAACATTATAATACTAGGGTAAGAAGTGGGAATGGTGCTCACTGGGTAATGGCGTTCACCACTGCAATTCTATCAAAATTGAGGATAGTAACATGCAACGTCGTATAAAGCACGGGGTTTGAGTGTGAAATGGGCAGTGACGCATATGAGCAGTCAGCTCGCGACAAGCAAACGAGTACAGTTTGTGGTACAGTACAGTGGTACAGTTTTTTATTTCGGTAAGTTCAGAATTATTGATACAACTTTCCTTAGTTTCTTTGTTCCATTTTGTGATAACGTACTTAATATATTTTTAACAATTGTTTCTGAATGTTATTAAATTTTAAATCAAATTCAAAACGATCGGCGGGGTTATACCGCTCACCTTAACGCCATTACCCTTTAGTTACTTATTTCACTTTTTCTTACAGATATGCCCAGAAATCGCCAAAGGATCACCGCTTAAGCGGCTCGGAGTGAAATTGGCCCTTCAATCTGCTAAAGCTGCGATTGAAGGGTGTCCAAAAGGCGAGCCGCAAAACAATTCAACAGAATTTATAACTTTGAGAGATCGATTAAAAATAATTATGTATAAATGATATGAACTAACTAACTAACCCAAGACTAGGTGGTAATCCGATTTTCCCCCACAGCAACAAAATGAAATAGTTGAACAAGTTAAGCTGTTAGATTCGCTGTATTATCGACTCAGCATCATAGATTTGCGTAAACTTATTTACAAATATGCTGAACTTAACAGTATGAAAAACATTTTTGATCCGAGTAGCAAAACAGCCGGACTGGATTGGGTACATGGCTTTATGAGACTGAAGAGTTTCAGTTGCTATACGCAAAGCACATTTCTACGAGAAGCTTGGCTGCTTAATGGAAATACATAAGTTCCTGCCAAATAATATTTCTGGGTCATACTCAGAAAAAATGTACGTTTGGCACTTTTTTTTGTCCCACTACTTTAATAGCAGATTTAAAATTTGAATACTATGGCACATATTTTTAATCATGTTTACATCTATGTTTAGTCTTTAATAGGATCTTTTTTATATCATAGTATAATAAGCATGGGATTTTTTTTATAAAATATCTTCCATACAATTTTTTAATGTCCCAATAACGATTTATCTTAATAAAAGAGTAATTGTTACGACTATTAGTCGACTTACATAAGATTGACTGTAGTCATTTAGGTCTCTTTTAGTCCATCATTTAAATAGTAATACGATTTATTCTTTAGAACGTTTAATAAAATTATTAATATTCATATTAATGTTGTCCCAAAATTATTACATTTCGTTACTCAGTGTTAGTTACGTGCGTATAATTCTGAATGCAGTTGTTCGAAACTGACGGGAAATAATTTTCCTAATATTGACAACATTGCTGCTTTTTATAATTCACCGTACATACAGAGGTCATTTTGTTTTCATCCGTACATGGGAGTCATTGTGTTGAATTCGCATTTGGAAAAAAATACTGTCAGGGTGATAAACGATTTGAATTTCGGTAAACATATACGAAGTGTAATCGTGGTACAATGAAAATGACGGGCTTGATTCCCGAACCTGACAATATATTTATGTTGAACTAAAAAAAAAATGGTTGACTTAAATTTTACTAAGTATTTGTGTGGGTACTTGTGCAAAGTAGTCAAGTATTTAGGATATTTTTTATTTAATTATAATTCTATTTTTATTTAATTACAATCAATAATAATATTATTTTATTCAGTTGATTCTTCAGTTACGAATATTTAAATAATGGAGCAGTAAGTTGATATCTTTTTGTTATTACAGATTTGTTTGTACTGATTTTCATTATGAAAGATTATTTTATTTTTAAGAAATATTGTTATTACTTTCTTGCTTATTTTTTTTCAATTTGGTCTTAACGGTTCTTGACAACTTGTTTTCTTTAGTTGCTCGAAATATGGAAGGGCTCGATTAAATTTTGACAATATTACTCCGATTATTTAATTGATTTTTTAGAAATGTGTATGATTGTTCATACTTATTTTTATGTTTTAAACAAAAATTTGTAATTTAACGAGAAACCTGTAATTTAATTTAATATTAAATTAAAATTAATTAAATTATTTTATTTTTTTTCATTTTAATTTGTAACTACTACTAAACCTAAAATTGCATATTATACTCGTACATACTGATTCATACAATTGAGTTTTTTTTTTCAATATTTTGTATCTGGATGGTCCCTCATAATAATTGCAATCAAGCCTTTAGGCGTAATGAGTTATTTAAATTTATTAGCTAAAAAATTATAATATACATAAAGAGTGCGTCCATTGGTACTTTTCTTATGGTTCCTACTCCAATGAAAATATACTTTGTAATTGTTCTTCAAGAGTAGCACTCACTGCACTACGTCACACTAACTTAACTAAACAACTAAAAAGGCTTAGGGTTCTTTAGTCTTAATGATATATACGTATGGTTGGAATATTCAGTTATTCCCATCGGGTAGGATGAGCCTGATTTAGATTTCTGAGATATTATGTTTTTTTTAGATTAATGTATTTTTATAAATATTAAAGTGTTTGAATATCTAAAACTGATGTTATATTATTTTTTAACTTTTGATGCGTGTCCTGTTCAGTATGTACCCTGCTTTACAATATCAATTTCGTCATATTGATTCTCCATTTCGTTACTTATCAGTTTATTAACAAATAGCAAATGTACATTTTGTCTGAGTATGACCCTTATAACGATAGCGGCATTCCCTAAAGTCCAGGGTAATGACGCTCAAACCTACTTTTTTTAAGTTTTCCTACTACTAATATGTCAAAGATATATACGTTTGGTATCAAACTGTTGATTATCTAATAGTTAAAGATTTAGTTCATTATTGAAATTTTGATATAAAATAAATAAGTTTTGCGCATTGTGAAGACCATCAAAGCCGCGCCGCCACTTAGCCTATCATATACCTATTTGGCTTTGCACCGACTTCAAACAGACTATAGTTAAACCGCCGTAAGCTTGGTGATGGTTTGCGAGACGCGGGGCGGGTGATGCGCTCAGCTACGACACGATGTACTTACTCGATATCTTCTGATTTAGTTGTTTGAGATTTAATCTACACACGATGTAATAAAAATCTAATTTATTTTCATGCATTATAATATATGTATATTGTAAGTTTTTATGACTAATTGTAAAAATTTAATACTTTTAAAATAATTGGAATAAAATCACCTTATCTTCTTCATGTAAATTATATTCAAATATAATTTAAAAAGTGAAGTAAAATAATAAATATTTATTATTAGACCTTTATTAGACCTTTTACGGTAGAGCCTCTGTAAGCCTCTAATTGAATTCGAATCCCTTTAGCTTCTTGTCTTGTAATCGCATTTTGTTCGGTATCTTCTTCAAGAATTTGAAATCTATGAAAAAACCGGCTTTAAAATTTCGGAAATTGAAGAACTAAATTCATAGAATGAGCAGCACAAGGAGCGTGTTCTGTCTATTATTTGAAGAACCAAATTGGAATCCGGAATGGAAGCCCTCGAGAAGACAAGGCTTTGGTAGCACCGACTACTCTTCTCAAAACATTTCTCCAATACGAGATTTCTGTTTCTTTTGAATGACTAAATCATGGTCTATCCTATTCTTATTATCTAATCTTTGCTTAAGGGTTAACATACACTTTTTATGACTTTTTGAGTGTTCATGATCAGTAACACGAACGCCTGCATGTTTCCAATCATTAAATCCGGTTTTACCATTAAATGAACAACCTACCTCAAAAAGAAGACAAGCTGCACAGAATACAGACCCTTTACTGAGTAAATGAGCCACGGGCGTGGAACTTTTTTACCGTTAATAAGTTTTCCACCAAATAGTGATTCTGATAGCCGTCGTGAAGTTCCATCACTGTAATCACGTTTTGTACCGGGGAAATCTAAATTTTTATTTTGTTTACACTTATGAGTAGAGTAGTAATCTCTGGTGAAATCATTTATAGCCCATTCTGCTGCATCATCGCTTATCACAACATTTTCCGACACAACCTTTTCTATTATTCTTGTTGAGATTGTAGCTTGGAGTTCATCTTCATTATTCATATTCTGTGGCAGCGAAGAAGTCGTGGAACTATTTTTTTTTTAATTTATTGATTTTAATCAATCAATAAATTTATGTTTACCTATGTTAGTTTATTTTTTGAAATATTCGAAAAATAATTACGATTTTTTTTCAATTTTTCAAAAAAAAATACGAATTAAATTTCTTTAATTCCAGAAAATAGAAAAGTCCATTATTATCTTCAATCTCCAAGGCAAGAAATTGATTAAATCATTTTGATTATTAATCTTTACTCACCAAAATTATAATTCACAAATAATGGATGAATTTTATTTCTTGATTTATCAATTAAAAAGAAAATTATTAATTAATAGAATTAATTAATTATATTCAGCAATCTTGATAAGACTAAAAAAAAAAATTTTTCACTTTCAAAATTTTGCCGCCCTAAAAAATTTGCCGCCCTGGGCACTTGCCCCGACTGCCCCTAGTGTAAATCCATCGCTGGGGATGAATAGGAGTTTTGATACTCCTTATTCTTAATCCGTTGCCACACGGATACACAACAACTTTCTTCTGCATATTAATGAAGTAACTTAAAATAAAAAAGAAAAGGAAACGTTTATTAAAAAAATGAAAATTGATTCAAATGCTCTTGAATCATTTTGTGACGCAGAGTTGGCAGATTATCCATTTTGCAAAATAATACCGTGTGTAGCAGTCTTAAGAAATATAACACATACAACCATCCCTTTACGTCAGCCACCGCCGGCAGACAGCGACACACTAGCTAATTGGTTGAGCGTACCCCGCCCTGTGTCCCGCAAACCATCGGGAGGGCCAATCTTACGGCGCGGCGGTTTGACAATAGAAGGTATCTATTGCTATTTTAATGTTACCTGTTTCCTGTTACATACAATGTTACATGTTACCGGTTTTTTCAATTAGATTTATTATCATTTTACAATTTGGAGTGCTCTTTGTTAGTATTGTTTGAAGTCGGTTCAACTTTTTTTTTTAAAGGATTTGTAGCCTTTTTTTTTTTTTTTTAACGTGTGGAAATCCCCTCACACCGTCACCCCACCGGGGTTTGTGGCGGGGCGGTGTGTCGGTCTCGGACCGACTAAAACCACACGGTGTGCCACTCTGCGCCTGTAATGGGAGGGATCCGGGAACAGCTGTTGTTAAGACATCCGGACCCCTCCTAGCGCCTGCCCGATCCTGGTGCGGGCTCCGTCTCAAAATTTTAACCTCTCTTTAGGCGACGTCCGGCACACGCGGACGCCGCCCCCTCGCGGCTGGCCAAACTAATGCGGGTGGAGGGGAAACCCACCCGCGGCCACACTCAGGGCGGCATGAGGCTGTGATAAGCGGGCCGCTGCCGCCCGGTTCGCCGGCGGCGGATCGGGTCCGAGTGGAGGTCTTCCTCCCGGGCCTTCTCCGCCGCCTCCTTCTGCGAGATTACTTCCTCGCAGAAGGTTGCGACCGCGGTAAAACAACTGTCGCCACCGGCCATGGAGCGTAGCGAGAGATCCACTCCGATGACTGCAGTGAGGGCCCGGCGCTGCGTCGCCCATGCGGGGCAGACCGCCAGCGTGTGCTGGGCCGAGTCCTCACTGCAGTCGCAGTGGTGGCAGGCGGGACTCAGTTCCCTCCTAGCGACCGAGTGCAGGTACTTTCCGAAGCAACTGTGCCCGGAAAGCACCTGTGTCAGCCGGAAGGTAAGGGTCCCCGTGATGCCGCCCTGCCCACTCGGCGATGACCGGCTGGAGAGCCTCCACGGCGGCGAAGCCAACGCCAGCCTAGCCGGAACGACCAACGAGCCATCGTGGCTCGGCGAGCGGCTTCGCGCCACTCGCGCACGTCTTCGGGCGGAGAGCGAAATCCGCTCTCCGCCCGCGAGTCAGCCACTCACCGATAAACTTCCGCCTCCAAATCCCACGGGGGAGTTCCGGCCAACGCGCAAGCCACCTCCGTCGAAACGGTGCGGTAACCGCGTATGGCTCTGACCGCCATTACCCTCTGAGGGCGCCAGAGGCGTGCCCTATTCTGGGCGGTCAGAGCTGCCGCCAACACCGGTGCACCGTCATCTGGGCCCGAACCACGATTGAGGCGCCAGGGGGTGGACCACGACGGGGCCCATGAAATAAGAGAGCCTCCGTCTTATCTAGGGCCACCCGTAAGCCCAGCGCCTTAATGCGCCCGACCACCAGGGAGACTCCCCTAGTGGCCTGGCGCGCCGCCTCTTGGAAGTTCGCCCCTCGCCCCCCGGGCTGTCACCAGAGTATCATCTGCGTAACAAATTACACCCAGGCGGGGGGGGGGGGGGGGGAATCGGTTCGAAGGGCCCAGTCGTACCCTAGAGTCCAAGAACAGACCCCTGTGGAACACCGCACGACATGGGCCGACATCTCGAATTACCTTCTCGGTCCTCGTACACGACGGTACGAGGACCGTACTAGCCGCCTCAGGTACTTTGGCACCCCATGATAGTGGAGTGCTTCCCTGATGCAACTGGATGGCAAACTATTGAATGCGTTGGCAATGTCCAATGACACCGCCAACAGCACGCTGCCACAGCTCACGGCCTCTTCGGTCACGGCCCTCAGGCGCAAAACAGCGTCGACTGTCGAACGCCCCGCCCGAAAAAGGATTTGTTGCCTGTTCCAACCACTTCTTTATTATAATACTAGCGATCCGCCCTGCTGGTGCTGGTGCAATGTGGATGCCATTAATACTACTAATGTTGTGTCTGTGTGGAGTAATTAATTATACTATTATTATGATAGAACTATACTACAGGATATCTTTGAATTCAATATTTATAGGCCCGCTCCGATCCTGCCGGCCGCTGCAAACCGGGACGGACTCTAAAATCTTCTAAAATATTAATTTTAATGATATGCTGCACAGAGCAATTTTAATCTACAATTAATGCACAATGTATCTAACGTATTTCATTTGATAAGGATAATAATGTATTGTTTAAAATAGCTTCGTAAATATCCATTATTTTTTTGCAATATTTAAAAGATAAAAATGGTTACTGTAGATTATCCTTAGAAGATAGACATATATCAGCATGGACTTTTTTGTAGACCTTATTATTATTTATTTAAATTATTATATTATACTAAATTATTTTGGTCCATCTCGTAAGGTTTAGCAAACCTTACGAGATGGACCAAAATAATTTAATAAGCGTTTGCAATGTAAGCGCACAAAAACAATGTACAATGTACAATTTACGACAAATAGTTTGAATTCTCATATTTTCTCTACTATATTGTGCATGTATTATAGATTTAAACCTTCCTCTTGAATCATTCTCTCTATTGGTGAAAACTGCATTAAACTCCGTTGCTCAGTTTAAAAGATCTAACAGTACAACACAAAAAAGTTCCTATTTTTATACTATGTAAAGATGTATATTTTAAGTGATCTAAGAAATAACTATCTGATGTAATGTGTTATCACTGAAAATGTTCTAATAAATCGATTAATATTGGACGATTTGGATTTATTTCTGTATCCACCCCATAACATCAGTAACAGTAATCTGATAAATGTTTATCAGCTGACTGTTACCGATGTAGTGGTTTCAGAACGTAAACTAAAACTTCAAAAGCGATTGATTTGAAAACAAAATATTTACTTATTAACAACTTGTTTGTAACAAAATTTAAGGATTAATTGTAAGATTGTTCAAAAAGAAATATTCAAATAATATTTTTACACGTTGTCGTATTGTCAATTGCTATTGGATAGTTGTGGTTATGCCTGAAGTTAGTAAAATGAGTGATGAATAATCGCAATGTTTCTAGCAGTGTTGATAAGATAGGGATAATGTTTAATATTTTAGTCAGCAGTAATTTTAAAGGGTCTAACTTATTGCTAAATTTACGTACTTAACTGCCTATCAATGTGGAAACGTTGGTTTCTATGTAAGTTGCGTATATCTATTTTTTGAATTAACTTCTATTTCACATTCCTTTGAGCACGTAATAATAAACGACCTTGTTTTCCGTATCCCCTCCCTACCAGAGTGATTCATGCTCAGTATTTTTTTGAGCCGGCGGTAGGTGATGTCATAGAAAATCGATGTAGATGTGTGATTACTAGCAGAAGTGTGTTTGCACCACTAATAGTCACTTGTGATTTTGTAGTTATTCTCTTTCCGGTGTTAGCAGCTAAGGATACATCAGAAAACATGGATTCAAAGGCTATTTCTTCTGCTATCGCCGCATTTTCGGCCAAATTTTGTAATGTAAGTAAAAGTATTTGCTTTATATAGGTACATTACAGAGACATACAATTATGTAGATACAGTGACACATCTTTTATTTTGGAAGAATAACAACTAAACTAGTAAAGAAACATTGTTAAAATGTAAAAATGTTGAAGTGTATTTATATGATGTTAACTGTATTTTACTTTTATTTGTGTACTTTAAAATATCATAGCCCTATATATATATATATATATATTTTTTACAATTATATATATTTTACAAAGTACAAAAAAAATTCTAAACATGTAGAGGTATATAAAATTTTAAATTATATATAGAAAAAAAATGCCTAATCACTACAAGCACTGTCTATTCAAAGGGTTTTATTGAACTGCTTAATGTAAGTCTCTAAAGATGTAGGTTTAGGCTCTCAGCAATGAATCAGAGGCTGGAATTATTATTATAGGCTAGATCAGTATATTTAAGGACAGAAGTTGAAATATATATAATAATAACTTCACACATCTTACACACGGCCGTCTGATCCCAAACTAGGGAGAGCCTGTGCTATGGTAATTAGACTGCTGATACATACTTATATATTTCTAGATACATACAATTTACAGATAATTTACACCCAGACATAGAACAAATCGTCATGTTCATCACACAATTATTTGACCTGGGTGGGAATTGAGCCTACAACCTCCGGCTTAGCAGTCAGGGTCACTAACCACTAGACCAACAGGCTCGTCAAGTATTTTACTTATCGGAATGGGCGGAGTGTATGTGTGACTTCTCCTGTTAGAATAAACTAATAACCTTATTCAACTTTTCCTCTTGTTATAAAAAGTAAGGATACCCAAGTTGTCGCTGTGATTTTCATATAATTATGTATCTTACATGATTACTCAAAAATTGTCTTAAAAGGTAAATTCCAAATTAGTCAACCACATTTCAGAAATTGACACAGACAGACAGACTTCTAAGAAAAATAGACTTTCTTAACTTGTAGATAGTAGTAGTAGTAGACCTTGGAATATGTGTTTTTTTAATAATTAAAACATTTACATGAGAATTGCTTCAGTGGAACTCATGGTGAAAATCATAAATTGCCTACCATAGATTAATAAATCATAAATAAACTAGTCAGTAGTAACTATCCATATAACCATAATGCTTACTGGTATGTAGAAAATATGCAGAGTAAAATTTAGTGATTAAATGATCTTGTTACGTTTTTTAGTCCTAAATGTAATACAATTCCACTGTAAACCAAAGGGAAAACTCTTTAACTACTGACATCAGCACTATTTTGGGCAAGAGCAGGTGACATTCGGCTATTATAACCTAGATAAATCCCACCTCTATATTAAAAAAAAAAACGTTTATTGTAATTCAGATTTATTACTTCTCAATTGCTGCTTCTTGTACTTGGATTTTGTTAAATCTTTTTACTCAGTTAGACCTGCCATAGTGTTTGATAGTGGTTAAAGGCCGATTTTTTGGCTATTGTCAGCCATCTACTTTGGCCCATTTCATTAATTTTAGTGACGGTAATTATAAAACAACGTATCAACGACACAATAATGGCAACTACAACCCCCTAAAGTATCTAGGTTACCTATAGATATAAATGGTTTTAAACGGTGGAAAACTCGCCTAAAAAAATAAAGGAACTGTGTTTTATACTAATTTTGACAAATGAAAACAATGAAAAACTGTTTATTTACCAACACAGAGTTTTTAACTTATCAATAGAGTTTTTATAACTTAGGTAGGCAATACCTACGCTTGGTCGGACGGACCAACTAGAACTAAACCCGCTAAATATATCAATATCAGTATGTCACACATATATAAAATCTTTACACAGTTTATAGGTACTCCGTCATATCCCTGCCTCGGAATCAAGAAAATGTAGTTATGATTAGGAAAAATATAGTCGTCAACACCAACTACCGTTATAAATCTGACTAAATTTAATTTAGGTAGCTTGCATATTAATTTTTATTTGTAAAGGAATCACTGCCGTAAAAAATGTTCAAAAAATATCCTTAAATAACTTTTTTAAATAAGCATTAAAATATGTGTTTTATAGATAACGCATGAATGTGAGTGTATTAGGTGCGCGCATAATTACCATAGTTTTTGATAAGCTGGGTGACTAATAGTTTTATATTACTGTACTAGTGTAAGTAATTAGCTGTCTAACTACACCTAGTCACTTTCGAACAGGTGATCCATTTGCTTGTTTGCCACCTATATCATGTAAAACTATTATTTGACATATGACGTCATATAAATTTTCTAAATTCATTTAATTCAAGTAATTTTTAGACGTAGGTACACAGAAATACCAGATTTTAATTACAATAAAGTCACGAATACAAAAATTACGAAAATCTTAATTCAATTGAATTAAGATTTTCGTAATTAAATCAGGTGTTCTTCGGAAACATTTCTTTTATTCTGCTTTAAAGGTACCCTTTCATACCTAACCACACCTTTCTGCAAAAAAATAATGTTTCATGATTATCCGTTGAGTAGTTAACGCGTAAGAAGTTTACCAACAAATAAACTTTATTGCGCAGTCAACAACAAAAACTGATGACAATTAAGAGAGTAGTTATTATTGAAAATTTTTTTTTTTGTAATTACAATACAATAATACTCTTTTATAAATATAGTCGCTTGCTCTCGCCATATTAACAACCCGCTTATTTGGTCTGCGTCTCTCAGAAGGATTGCCCCGTTTTTGTAACATTTTTCATTGATGCTCGGTCTCTATTGGTCGTACCGTGATACAGTTAAATCGGCTATCCAGCAGTAGAAGAGTTTGTCAATTCAAATCAGTAGCTCCTAAGATAAACGTTCAACCAACCAAACAAACAAACTCTTCAACTTTTTTAAATAAGTATATTTGTGGGATTCAGCATTAGGTGACAGAGAGTGTAATTAAATTTTTGTCTATGACTATATTTTTCTTATTGAATGAAAAATACATTTTTTTCAATTGAAAATACAATCATTTCTTTTACTACGAGTAATAATAGTCAGGTACATTTGTTATAATTACTAGGCTGAGTGACATACCAAAGATTCAGTAATTAATATTTTACTTTTTGCATTATATTTTTAATCATATTGTGATAAATAAAACTGATAAATAAACGGTTTCCAGCTAATCGGTATAGTGCAATTTTTTTTTATACTTTATGATAACGTAATATTAAATACTACTAAAGCACACTTTTAATCTCTTGAATTCAGATAGTAAAGGTATCCACTGTCATCGTTAATTACCAAATGTTTATGATTAATCAATATATTTATAGGAATTGGAAAAAGACAAGAGTGTGGTATCTTCACCACTATCAGCGGAATTTGTATTGGGCCTGTTGACTTTGGGTACAACTGATCCAGCACATTCTGAACTTATTACGGCGCTCGGCGTTGCTGATGATGATTCTGTAAGTATTACAATAAATTTGAATTGGTGTTCACTATTACTTAATCACTTCAATAGCAGGTTAGTGTTTTCCAAAGGGATTTCCAAACTGGGACACAAGGGATTCCCAAACTATTTTAGGCAAGAGACCCTTTTTCCAAAATGAACTGATAATAATAATAATAATCTATTATATTTTAATAATAATAATATATCTATTCATTAGTTAAAAAAAAACTAATAAATAGATATTAAATTGAGTAAATATCAAGTTTGAATAATAATTGTTTATACAAATTACATAAAAATAGTTAGGTAGGAAATATTTTTTTGAAAATAACATTAAAATCTCAAAGGTAAAATTTAAAGAAATCAGTGTGATGAATCTAATTCAATATTAGCGAGTTGCAGCCTTAAATCTAAGCATCACTGCAACCACTGCCACTATGGCAACAGTTTGGACAATATATTTACAGATATTGTAATTAAGGACAAGATAATAATCAATCAATTACATTCTGACCACAGTGGTCAATTAGTATCTTTCTGTGATAGGTATGAAAAGGTGGCAGAAAAAAGAATTGTGGTCATACCTAAAACCGCAAAGCGTTGTGAAAACTTTAAGGATAAACTTAAAGCTGATTTTAATAGTTCAGTACTCTGTGTAGAGAATAACCCTCCTAATACTTATTATAATAGCTTTTTTGAAACTTTTTTCAACATTTAACACAATTTTTACACCAATAACGATAATGGTTAAAGGTAACGAAACATTTAGTGAATGGGCTACCCCTGGCTTACTCAAAAGTAGGAAAAGAAAAGTAGCAATGATAAGATTAAAACTACTTGGAAAATTATTAACCGTAAAACTGGCAAAAATCAATACCGTGATAATGAATTTAAGTTAAATATAAACAATAAATTTATTACATAAAATGCTGAGGTTGCTGCTGCTTTTGAGATTTTTTTTACTAATATTCCTGTATCAACTACTAAATCTTTGAACTCCTCACCATGCCTTGCAGAATCGATTTTAAAAGAGAATGTTAGTAGGATTGATAGTGAATTTAAAGGTTTTTCAATAATAATAATTTATTGCACAATAGACAATCTAGTTTTACAAGGGCTCCACAACTAATGCCGTGTTGAGCTAGTAAAACATAATGACATGAATAGCTTTTTGAAAAAAAAAAAGATTTCAGCGATCATGTTTTTCCTAGGGACTGACTAACTGACTGATAAAGAAATACTGCTGCAAAGTCCCTAACAAATTGTGACTGTTACAGATTCGCTCAACATTTTCTTCGGTGTCATCCAAACTGAAGGCAATCAAGGGTGTAACATTAAACGTTGCTAATAAGGTGTATATTCAAGATGGCGACTATGAACTTCAACCACAAATTAAAGATGATGCTGTCAAAGTATTTGATGCTGCCATGGAAAAACTTAACTTCGGAGATAACGTATCTGCTGTGAAAACGATAAATGGATGGGTAATTTATTATTAACTTTAATTACCTACCAAATGCTGATCCTAAGTGATGTACTTTACTAAATAATTAAAAAAATTTAAGGTTGAAAGCAAAACCAACCAAAAGATCAAGGACTTGTTGCCTGAAGACAGTGTCGACAGCTCTACTCGCCTAGTTCTTGTCAATGCTCTCTACTTCAAGGTAAACCTATTTTCATAATCTCTATTTATTGTACTTAGATATTTATTCAGCTTATGATACGGGGGGTAAACGAGCAAATGGGTCACCTGATGGAAAGTGACTAACACCGCCAATGAACGCCCGCAACTAAGGAGTCACAAGCGCTTTGCTGCCTTTGAGTTAAGAGTAGGCATCTATCTCTAATGTTTGAAGGTCGCATCCGCCCGGAAATACTGCTACTGCAGACGACAATTTGTTTCACAGATAATACTTTTATTTTCACTAAGAGTTATAAACAGAGTACATAGATAACTACTGTGACAATGTTGACGCAATCAACTGTAGTCGCCGCCACGGTACAGCAGGGCCACTCTCTCGTGCTAGGAATAAACCTGTGTTACGAGTAGAGGGACGCCGCCATGGGAGCGTACTCGCAGTCGTAACAGCTGGCACATGTTTACAGTAGCACTACATCAAGACTGGGTCCATATGTTAGGCAAGCCTGTATTTCGGATCCAGTCATACTTAAAACTAGGAAACATAAAAACGTATTCAAATATAGTTAAGAGAGCCATATCAGGTGTATTTAGTGTAATATGTTGAGATTGCATGTGCGTGTGTGTGTGTGTGTGTGTGTGCGCGTGTGTGCGTCTGTGTGTGTGCGTGTTTGTGTGTGCGTGTGTGTGAGAGAGAGTAAGCAAGTGTGTATATGAGTGAGTGTCTAAGCGTGGTTGTGTATACGAGTGTGTGTATGTTGAATGTGATCCTACCCATATATTTTCAGATAAGAGTTTTAAACAAATTTTCTATTTCCGCATAGTTTAAGGTGCGTAGCCATGTTTTGAGAGTGCGGTGAAGTTTATGCTTATTCAGAGGATATATATTAAGAATTTTGTTGATTCTGTTATAAAGAAAACTGCTTACAACTTTATTGTGTCGTTTTGCCAGGGTTGTGTTGTGACGAATTGCGGGACATATTTTATTGAGTCGACGTGTATTTGTGTGGAGACCTGGATCGTATGTTACTGTTGAGTGTTTTTTGGCAACAGTTTGGTGCACAAAGAGCTGCCTCACTGTCAGAACCGGAATATCTTTAAACAAGTTACTGGTTGGGTACCGAAAATTCTTCTTAGACATGACCTTGAGGACAGCCCTCTGGGCAATCTCCAGTGGAAGCATAGTTGTTTTTGCTGCACCACCCCAGGAGGTAATGCAGTAGGAGATTATTGATTGAACAAGTGCCTGGTAGGTCATGGTGAGCGTTTTAAGGTCTGCTGAACTTCGAAGAGTTCTAAATACATAGATCAGTTTCCTGACTCGTGATGTTAAATTATTTATATGTATTTTCCATTTTAGGAACTGATCTATGTAGACACCCAGATACTTAACCTGGGAAGTCCTGGAGATAGTTGCACAGCTACAATTAATAGTGGGATCGATGCATGTGTGCAGTTTAATTTGATAAGTGTCTGTAGGTGGCAGCATAGATGTTTTGTGTGCAAATGTCATGAAACAGGTTTTATTGGTGTTTAGTGTAAGGAGATTAGCTGTTAGCCAGGCCTGAACCTTTGTAAGAGCAGTTTCAGCGTGGTGTTTTGTTTCATCCCAGGTTCCACCTTTTATTAAGAGTACCGTATCATCAGCATACGCATAAATATTGCAATTTGTGGAATGGAGTTCACAGAGGTCATTAACATAGATGGAGAATAATAAGAGAAAATACTCCCCTGGGGAACGCCGTAGTCCAAAACTTGTTCAGAACTTGTGAAGTTTCCAATTTTAACGGCTTGTGTCCTACCTACAAGGTAATCTGAAAACAGCTTAAGCGGCACTCCTCTTATGCCGATTTGTTCCAACTTTCTCACAAGAATGGGGACGGAGACGGTATCAAACGCCTTAGACAGGTCCAAGAAAATGGCAAGACATTTCCTTTTACCGTCCAAACCGTCGATTATATCATTTACTAGACTTAGTACAGCATCCTCAGCTGATATACCTTTCCTAAAGCCGTATTGGTTACGTGATATGATGTGTTTTGACTCTAAATAACTCGTCAGACGTTTGTTTAGAGCCTTTTCAATCACTTTCGACATTGCGGGCAGAACTGAAATTGGCCTATAATTATTGACAGTATCTCCATCGCCACTCTTGTGAATAGGGTGAATTATAGCTTTCTTAAACATGTTCGGGAAGGTGCCGGTTGAAAATGAAAGCCGACAGACATGTGTGACAAGTGGGATTAGTATCTCAGCAGAATCCTGTATTATAGCAGCCGAGATACCATCTCGACCAACTGCGCAATCTCTGCGTAAAGATTTGATCAATAGCTCAACCTCACCGCTATCAACGTCGAGTAGCACAAAAGAGTCACATTGGGTGCTAATCGATGCCACTCGGCCATCAGGTGTGGTCACTAGTATGTGTGAGGTGTTTATTTTAGCTGCCAGATCCCGGCCCGCACTAACAAAGAAGTCATTGACTGCGTTTACAGACAGTGTTGGGTTCTCCCTGATACTCAAGAGAGTGTTAGCGATTGACGCTTTGGGTTGTGTGTTAGTTATTGTTTTTATAGCGTTCCACGTAGCCCGAACATTGTTTTGAGCTGTCTCCAATAGTTTTTGTTGGTAGCCAATTTTTAATTTCCTCAGTAATTTATTTATAAAGTTTCTATATCTTATGTACGATAACTTTAGTATAATATTATTTGGGTCCCTCTTTTGAGCTTTATGCATCCGGTCACGGTTACGGATACATCGTATTAAGCCTGGAGTGATCCAAGGTTTAATGTTCCTTTTTGTACGTCCTACTTTATAAATTGCGGTATTGTTTTTAATTATATTAGAGACGCACGTTATCAAATAGTCTGTAGCAGAGTTTACGTCGTTTGTAAATAGAACCGGGGAGTAATCTGTGTTTTTAATCGTATTTTGTATTGCAGTATGATTAGTTTTATTACGAAATATGTCTGGTCTAGAGATAGTTTTCTTCAGTGAGAGTAAAAGAAGTGTGGGCAAGTGATCAGTAATATGAGTGTGGATAATTAGTGTAACTGATTGTAACTTTGATTTTAACAGAACATGGTCCAAACAGTTTTCATATCTGGTTGGAATATTGTGTGTGGAAATTAAACCGTGAGACGTTATGAGGTTAAGATATTCATGGGATCTTTTGTCAATGGTATTTGTTTTAATATCTATATTAATATCCCCGGTGATGCAAACATTTTTGTATGTTTTTAGTGTTAACAGTGTTTCGTTTAAACCATTGAGGAAATTATCCAATTGGGTATATGAAGGCGATCTATAAATAGCCACGATTGCCAGATCTCTGCCGAATTTTCAAATCATACAGTTAAAGTCTTTAATATTTGTAGGTTCACTAATAGAGTAGTTTATCCCCGCCTTTATATAGATTACGATACCGTCATTTTGATTATCCACCCTGTGAGTATAATGAGAATTGTAACCAGTTATAGTAGGAACGTTAGATATTTTTGAGCACCAGCATTCTGTTAAGACAATAATGTCGCAATGTACATTTATTGAGACCAAAAAAGCCTGTAGTTCGTCAAAGTTCTTATTAATGCTACGTATATTTAGTTGCATAACTGAAAACGGGTGACTAACAGCCAAGACATATTCGAGACATTCATCGGTTGAGCACTGAAAAGATTTCATTACGTTGAGCGTTTCAAGTTCTGATGAAATTTTACATAAATCGTTAGCCATAATCTAATAAACAAATATTGCGTTTAGAATATTTTATTAGACAGAAATTGAAACACTCAATATTTGATGAGATATGTACTAAGAAGTAGGTTGACAGTGCTAAAATATCAGTTCTGGCGGGGTTATAAAACAAGCCCTGATAACTAGTCATATTCAGGTATAGGGCCTTATGTGTGTGGGGTGGAGAGAATGTGAGAGTATTGTGTGCATCTAGTCTGTGAGGTGAGAAGATGACGTGTAGTGATTTTTGGCGTGTCGGTATTGTTATGTAAATTAGATGTGTCAAGGGGCTCATTATCAATACTTTTAACCAATTAAATACTAAAGTAAGTAGGAGGAATGTGGTTAACAAAATAGATTTTAAGACAGTTATCCTAGGCAACCATTTTCCGCTTATAAATGAGAGTAACTGTGAGGAGTTTTTTCTAAAGTTCTCAACACAACAGATATCAGTTAAAGAAACAGGCCCTAGTCATTCCCTCACTTCTAGAGTGTCCAAGTCTTCCTCAGAGTTTATTGCAATACGATCAGTGGTTTCATCTCTGCGTATATAAATTTTCCGATTGGTGGTCCAACAAAATTTATAATTTTTGTTTTTCGCAAATACTCGTGCCTGGTGGAACAACTTTCTACCACTGCCCGGCATGTATTCTGTTATATATACAGGGGACGGTGGGCCTAGTATTCCAACGTGACTCGTATTTAATTTCTGGGACATTTCTTTATTCCTGTTGTAATCACGTACGGACGCAAGTATTTTTTGTTTCATAGCCACTGTGTTAAAATCCACCACAATTATCTTATTGCGACCTGGTTTATTCGGGAGACGATAGATGTCGCGTATTTCTGACGTATTAATGTTTACGCTTACGGTTTTTCCAAGGTTTTTAACGTGGTTTTGGATATCCTCCAACGTCTCCTTCTCTTGCCATGGAATATTTCTTATTTCGATGGTGGATGACCGAGTGCCTAACTCCAACACTTCAATTCTTTTCTCTAATATTTCAATGTATTTATAACTCTGTAAACGTTCCTTTTCAAACTTTTCTAGCTTCGATTTCATGTCTTCATAAGTTGTTTTTATGCTTTCGATAGATTTTTCTATATCTAAGTTACTTTTTTGGATAGTTTTGTTTTGCAGTTTTATGTCTTTAATGTCATCCGCCAGCCTAGCAAACATCATACAATGATTTGATTTCAAGGTTTCGAACATATCTCTCATTTCCACTTGAAATTGTAGAAAATCACTTGCAGGAGGGGAACAGTCGGACCTCGGTCTTTTGTATCTAGTCGTTATATTGAATATGTTTTCGTCTACTGCGGCAGGTATATCTGTATCAGACTGCGTATGCGAAATTTGTGACTCGTTAGGAGTTTTTTTGGGAGTACGCATAATACTCATGATGATATGCAAACAGCGCCAAAATTGACGATAAAAAAAGTAAAATTAATCAGTTATAAATAGGCTTGTAATTCTATTTATTTACAGTAAACGACAATAAGCTAGTAGCCGAGGTCCGTAGCACTGGTAGCACAGTATATTATGTATTAAGAGTGACTCACAGTCTCGCACTGTAGCATGTGCACTCCCCACTCACTCTCCGCAGCCGTAGCAGCTAGAACGAAGCCGATGCTTGTAGCCGATACGCGACGCCAGATTCGTAGCGGACTTATCTATTTCGTTGATTCACTAGTTACGTCACTGTCTCAGCGGTCCGGCTGTTAGTGTTGTGGACTGAGATTTACAACCACAATCGGAGGGGCGGGTTCAAATCCTGGGTGTCACCACTAAAATTCACTTAATTTCACTTTGTTAAGTATGTAGGTGTTCAAATATTAATTGTCTCTTTCTCTCAACGCCCACAGGGTGGAGTCCATTAATTTAAATGCCATAGGTTAGAGCAAGAATCAACCCAACACTTAAAGACCAATCAGAAATTACGAATTAAAAATTGTGAAGTACACAGGTGACACGCGTGTACACTAGTTGCGAACTGTCCGAACAGATGAGTTGTATGAGGCAATAAGATCTGTCAATTAGGTTTGAAATGTTTTTCTTTCAGGGAACATGGAAAGACAAATTCGATCCCATTGCTACAAGAGAACAACCATTCCACATAAATGCTAATACGACAGTTGAAATTCCTATGATGTATAATGAGGCTGATTACGGTTTCGGATTCAGTGAAACTCTTCAAGCACAGGTATGTACTCGTATATGTACATATACTGAATATCTGTTATTTCTCGGTCAAAATGAGATCATAGACTCGTAATATTAATAGAACTACCATCACGGAATAGTTATTTATATGAATTGATTCTTGAAACATCTTCCACCCTACAATGTTTATAAATTCATATTTAAAGAGGCACTTAACGGGTTATATAAAACAATACAAATTTGTTAAATGCAAAGTAATCTGTTGCGGCAAGTCAAACTGTTATAAGAATTATAATTTTTGAATGTGTACATGATTGAAACGTAACTATAAACACACAGACAAGGACGTTGATAAAATGTCTAAGCTGGCTAACTAAAATAGAATAATTAATATTATTTAACGGGAATTAACGCGATCTCTTATTTAGGGTATTACATACCTCTGGTTTGCCTTACACCGGCCGTGGTCACAGGCTGACTGACAGTCAGCCTGTGACCACGGCCGGTGCAACCTGGTCGAAACGTCAGGCAAACCAGAGGTATGTAATACCCTAAATAAGAGATCGCGTTAATTCCCGTTAAATAATATTAATTATCATGGAACGCGAAAGTTTAAAAGTTAGTAAAATAGAATAGTTACCAAACCATAGTCTAACAATGCAATATGTATCGCATATCTAATCGGTCAAATCAATAGATAGATAAGTCGGTCACTAATGACAAAAGTTGTTTATGTATAGATAGGTGGATTTTGCTGTGTAAAAATAGGTTGTTTTAGTAAATTATGCTTTTAGTTCGTAACAGAAGTATTTATTTATTCTATTTATTCTTTACTGTACACACTGAACACTTACATATATATAAGTAACAAGGAAATGTCATGTACAAAGGCGAGCTTAACCCAAAACTGAGTTGAAGTAATTTAGGTTAGGTTTTTCATTTAATCAGAAATGGGTCATAATACCTCATCTGTAATGTTACCTACATTGGTCAACCAATTTACCAAGAGATAATGTCATGTGGAAGTTATTATTTAATGATTAATCTAAGTTTCTGTATTACATTATAATATACATACTGATTACATTTTTAAAAGTATATATATATATAAGTTTGTTATTATTATTATTAATTATTACTGACTGCCCTATACCCTATTAACGATTTAACTTTTATATTTATGCATTAGAAGGAAAATATGTGACTAATATAGGCACAAGTGTGTTTACCAACTAACACTGCGTAGCCTATACTTATTAAAACGGTTAAAAATTACATTCCTATAATATATACTAACTTACAAAGATGATACAATTCTCTTCACGTATTAATATATGTATTCAGTTCAATGGGTGTGGGTGTCGTAAGAGCCGCGTAAGGGAGTAAATGATAATAGCACTAAGAGAAAGAAAACGACACAAATCCTATACCAACCTGTCTGGCCAGCGCGGTATAGTGGGCAAAAACCTCCTTTCTAAGGAGAGGCCTCTGCCCAGCAGTGGACAATTAAAGACTGTTGATGGATGATGATAATTAATATACTAAAACACTCCACTTTATGAGTGTGTTAATTTATTGTTGTTTTTTAGTATTAAATGATTTTTCTCGGCAGCAGGCACCGAGGTTTTTATACAATACAATTCACATTCAAATAAACCACGTCTTTTGCAGTTGATTTGAAAGGAAGGATGATTTTGAAATCACATATGTGGTCTTATATGTCGTTCATATGAAAATTTACAGCTCTTGGAAATACCGTATGTTGGCGAAGAGGCCAGCATGATCGTAGTATTACCTCAGGAAATCGAAGGACTCAATGACGTGATAGCGAAACTGGCGGCTGGGCACGATCTGTTGGCGGACATTGAGAATATGTACAAAACTAAAGTACAAGTTACTCTTCCTAAGTTCAAGATTGAAACTACCATTGATTTGAAAGAGCTTTTACCAAAAGTAGGTACTTTTCCTCTAGAATACTTATTATTTGACTATCTCTTAAAATGTTATAAATTTATTATTTCTTTTTAGCTTGGCATCAACGCCATTTTTCATAAGGAAAATTCAGGTCTTACTAAGTTATTGAATACTGATGAGCTGTTGTACGTGTCCAAGGCGGTGCAAAAAGCATTTATTGAGGTTAATGAAGAAGGAGCCGAAGCTGCAGCAGCCACCGGTAAGTGCCATGTTGACTTGTGAGATTCACCAACAGATAGTTTTTATATAAACTCAAAAGTATTTACACGCTTTGCGCTTTATCTAAGTTGCGTAAGAAATAGTTATGGCAATAAAGTTATCTAAATCGTTGAAAGCTTATCTGTGGTATGCGATAAATGCATTTATTTTAAGTGACTGTCGCAATCTAATGTTATGTACAGTGTCTTTTAATTTAATTTAAATACCAATTATTCCGGGCGTACTATTTATCATTAAAGCTATTCTCAACGGTGTCCAAGTATTGGACAGTGTACAGATCGTTAGGAATAAAATCACATTCTTATCTCATTCAGTAGGGTGAAGCCGTTGTGGTTAAGCTATTATAGAGATAACTCTACCTTTTTTTTTTTGTTGACGGAGTGGAAAGTCCCTTCGGATCTCGGCTCCTTGGGGATATAGGAGCCAGGAGTATGTGGTGATTCCACTAAAAACCGACGAAACCACTCCAGATGTTGCAGCCCGATCACATTTTCAGTGCGATCAGGCTGCCATCCTTTCCCCTACCGCAGCAATTAATCTGCCACCAGAGGTCCTCACTCTCTGGCGGCCCGCGGTCCCGTCGGCTGCTCACTACGTCGTCGACGTCTTCTTCGCTCGGGATCGGCCCTCTCCCGATCCCGATCAGCGGTCTCTTTCTGGAGCATTACAGCTTCACAGAAAGAGACCACTGCGCCCCAGCCCTCCTCACCCGCCAGCATGGCAGTAATGATTGCTATCGGGAGAGATAACTCTACCTAACAATGGAAAATGAAGGATTTTATGACATATCATTAGCAATTTTATTTATCTATTTTAAAAAGATATATAATTATTAAAAATAATTATTGTAAAACATAAACCACGCTTCTTTACAATGTGCAAATATTTTCTACTATTAAGTTAACTTTGTATTTTAGTTTTATTTGTAGTTGTATTCTTTAACCCGTGATAATGACGACCGCACGCAGCAAATTAAGCTGTTTATCTTGATCATGAATCCATCGTCAGTCACTAGTTGATCCATCAACGTATAAGTACAACAAACGTATAAGATTGAATTGGTAAAAACTGTGTCTGTTAAACATTTGCGAACAAATATGGCAGGTATTGCCAACCCTGCTATTAAATGCCATACTATAAAGAACTACTAGTAATGTTGTTTTTCGTCATAAGTACGATGTTTATATAAAACTATCTGCTGGTAATAATAGTTATTTGTGTACTTTCTTTTGCTTTTCTGTGTTGTGCTTGGGTTTGGAGACCTTAACATGTTCAAGTCCTTTTTTAAGTGTATCTATTTTTCACGGTCGTGTATAGCGCATGTATTTTCTTGAATATCTTCTTTATTGTGTCATAATTTTTGTCGATATTATTTCGGTGGAAAAAAAAATAGTCATAGTTTATTGAAAATGTTACATATAAATACCGAAAACCAGACCTTTAGTGGAATTTTTCTTTTAGCAAATACATACAAACAGAATGTCTTATTTGGCCGGATATCGGATAGTGAGCAAATAACAGGCCTGATAGGGTATAATAAATTTAGGTACTATATTTAAACTAATTACAAGTATATAGTACTTCTACTGCACTATAGGCAAGTTGTGGTGTATAAATTCCAGGATTTTACACGAAATTACTACAAATGCTAATTACAAAATCGGATCAACTCTGTCTCCTCAAATTTATTTTAGCCAATGTTAAAGATTTACTGCTACTGAAGGATTAGTCACAAGACATTTTTATAATTCTATTAGAATCATCTGTCAAGCTATTACAGCTTCATCATCGCGTATCCTCACGTATGTCTAAATAATCTGAAATGACTTTCTAATCATCCATGGTAAACTACAAGTTTTCCTCGTTTCTCATCTCTTATGTATTATAAAGGCAACGTTCGAACAGATAACCGATTGCCAAGACTGGTTTACTTTATTTTGTTTCGAAAACTTAGATACAAAAATTGTACCTCGCTCTGGTTGATTTACTAAAATTGTCTATGAAATATAGCAACTGGTGGGCAGACGGCACTTAAACTGTAAAAAAGAGGCTGAGACACTTAACGTCAACTAAATGACGATTGGTAGTCATTTTGAAAACAGCTGACTACCGTTAAGAGTTAAGGAACTTGATGTCTGGGTTACACATTAATAGAAATTTAACATTTTGATTAGTATTTTAAATTCTGCTAAAACTGCCAAAATGAGTAAAATATGAGAATATTCGACCATAACGATCATTCAAAGATTGGTGTCAAACAAACGACTACAAAGCTTGAATTTGTCGGCAAACTAGTTTACGTTGAGTCATAGGATGGACAGGAAAACTATAATTTCAGTCCTATACTGTGCACAACTCGACCGTGCGAATAGAGCGAAAGAGAAAAGGAGTTGTGTTCAATTTTGACAATGCACGTTAACACACAATTTAAAAAACTTGGAACGAATCGATGCCACTTTGTTGGATAATTTTGCATCCATGGTATATCGTGTCTGTCCGTGTCTGTATACCATTTACTTGGCTCTGCAAAACTCTCTTGATGGTAAAAAAATGGTCTGTGAAAATTACTCTAATAAGTTTTTCGGCGATAAAATATAAAAATTCTATACTGATGGACTTATGAAACTACCGAAGATTTTTTTTTCAAAGCCATCTGGCATAGATAACAATGTTCAGTATGTACTTGATTAAAATTTATTTTCTATAAAGGAAATTTATGTTCAAAAATAAAAATAAAATCATGGAGACTTTTTACATAGCCTACACTTCAAACCAGAATTCAGCACTGATCTAGAGAGAAAGGCGCGCTGGCAAGTTCGCGGAATATTACAAACTTAATTAAAATGACGGCATACCAGTAATTATCGTAACAGTATGCACCAATAAACGCGGTTTCAAAGTTGCAATCACATTAAAATGCGACAGTGATACACTCGACCTAGCGCGTCCACATTGAACGCGCTAGGTTTAGTAGCTTGAAGTGAAACACAATTTGAAGTACATATTACGCATTGAAATCAGGGAACTAATATATCAGATAAAAGGTTTTGTGTTATAAAACCATAAGACAGGTATTTAGAGGTCTGGTATTCGGTACATCTACCTTATGCTGCGTCTTTAACGAAATCTCAAAAATAAATATTTAGTTTAGTAACAGTTAAATAGACCAGAAGTATGTTATTATAGTGGATATTCAATAAACTCTATTTAGTTTTTTGCTGTACTACATTACTAACATAATAAAAGGGTTCTTATCACTCTCTATTGATGCTTGTAACAATATACACAATGTGACACAGTTGTATCTAGCGTTCTGTGCGATTAGATAACTTATGTACTAATTCGTATCCCACCGAATGCCTAATACTCGTGTAATCTAACATTTTTTTAGAGTTGTTAATAGGGTTATGGTACCTACTTTCGTGGGGATATAACACAATGTATGACCTGGTGTGTATTGTTTGATTGGCGTGTGATATGTGTGCGCGTGCAGCTGCCGAGACGCGCAGACGTCGTGCGTTGCCAAACATGTTCGTGGTGGATCGGCCGGCGCTTTGGTGCGTGCGATTCGGCAACCAGATGGCGTTTATGAGCATCTATCGGCCGACCGCACTTCAAACCGCGCTACGCGATGAACTATAGTGCTGTATGTGGCGCAGGCATGGTGTTCATGATGCGGTGTATGCCGCCTCCGACGCCTGCGTTCCGTGCAGACCGGCCTTATCTCTACTTGCTGCTGGGCGCCAACAAAACTCCGTTATTCATCGGAGCCTACCGCAACGCCGCCTAATGTCTTCAGTGTACTGTATCGTAACTCGTTATATAAAAAACACACGTTTACGAGCCGTAATGTGGGCTGCAGATTTTATTATTCCATCTTACGAGGTTTAAATCCCAGTACACATATTCTGTAAATTGACGGGAAAGGATAATTTCGTATTGTCGAAATTAATCATTTGATGTGTAGAAACAGAGTCTAGACTGCATTTTGGCTCGTCTACACACTAATATTTAAGAGTTGCACTTGCAATCCAGCAGATTAACCCCTCATTTAGAGCTTTGTGAATCTAATATTATTATACTAATTGCCCATTCCGTACACTTAGTACAAAATAATTCCATTGAAATTTTTTAATTGAAAGCGGGATTGCAATTATAACGGTAATATAGATTATATTTTGTTTCTAACTTACGTGCTAGAATGTAAAAAAATATTAAATATATTTAATATAATATCTGTTGTTACTTATTTTTAAAGTTACTTCAAACAAAAACGAACTGTTAGTATGAGTACGAGTATATATTTAAAGATAGATAACCAATTAGTGTATTTTTAATTCTAACGTTCCACGTCCCTGGATATGTTTAGCGTGTCTTGCGATCCCACGTCCTCGCATCAACAAAACCACGCATTTTGTTCAAGACTTTCACACACCCTCCTGGCCACACCGCCTACTATGTTGCCTTAATACAGAAATAAAACTTTGTATTAATTTTGTGTTGTTGTATTAAAATGTTCGATCCGCGGCCAACCCTTGTCATTTGGCGGCCTAGTGCGAGTTTAGTTCACATCAACTCGTTCTCGACGGCGACCGCACTAGGCCCCTTGAACACAGACTAATATATGATACGATAAAATAAAATTGGATCCACGCAATGTATCTAGGGCGCAACAATCAAGTAAAATAAAAAATATATCTTTAAAATCAATTATTACACGTTGTGTTATGGTTATAAATAAGTACGAATTTAGCTTACAAAAACAAGCAATGCATTTGTCTCGCCTATGTGTGTATTTTAAAACTACAAACTACCTCACTAATTGTTCAGCACAAAGTTCAGAAATTAATTGACACATATCGATGAAAGAGCAGACCCACATTTCTCTATGAAAATAACTATAAACTTATCCTGTTTGTTACCTTTACCCCGCCATTATATTTCGAGAACCTGACCCTATCTGTTATAGCAAACTGAAATCTAACCCACTGGATAAAGGTCGGTCACTTTTATAAAAGCCGCTACATAAGAGTATCTACTATACTTATTTTAGCACGCGACTGCGCCCTTGTTAATGTACGAGTAGATATTGCCAATCAATTCGGCTATCGCTGGGAGCAGCACCAAATAGTTTTTCAAAACTGAGACATCATCATTCCCCTGACCTGCTTAATGATTATCGGTTAAGTATGATTTCCAGCGAAACTCTTTTCACACTAAGACACACGTTAAGGCGCAGTATTGCTTTTGGTAGTTCTCCTTCCCTTGAAATTCAAGTTCTTTACCTATTATCTACCATAGCCTGTACAATGAAAAGAAGTGCCGTACATGTGACAAAAATGTTTTTTTTTGTTATTTCAATAATTTTTTGGTTAGAAAATAGACCGTGACGGGGGTCGATGTATAGGAGAGTACTTTTGAGAACGGGAATGAAAAGTTAGTCCAAAGAAACCGTCAAAACCCCGAGTGCATGACTGCGTTTCACTTGTACATAGAATAGAAAAGGCTTTATTTTATTAAAGGAAATTCTTTAATCATTTAAGACTACTATTTTACTTTGTTTGGTAAATGGAAATTGCTTGCTGCTTACATGTGGTTATGGCTCAACTGCAGCTGAATTTATGGCATTACATGACACGCCTTGTATTCCAGCCATGGTCGTCGCGTTCTGTTCGGCCTTTATTGAGTTTGAGGTGCCAATCTTCCTGGCTAACCGCCCTTTCCTTGCTGCAATCTTCTTCGAAGGAGCGCCATACTTCATTTCGACCTATCGCGGCAAATCAGAATAACGACATGTCTCTCTATTAATTTGTTAAGTATGTTTATTAAAGTATATAAGTAAGCATATTACTATTATATAAACGTATTTTAATTAATTATCTTAGTCTTTTCTAATATGCATTTGTATAATGTTGACGGGCCTGTTGGTCTAGTGGTTGGTGACCCTGACTGCCAAGCCGGATGTCGATAGGTTCGATTCCCACCCAAGACAAAAAATTGTGTATGCTTTATCTATAATATAGATATATTTAGAAATATTTAAGTAAGTTTATCAGCAATGTGGTTACCGTAGCACATGTTCTGCCTAGTTTGGGATCAGACAACCGTGAGATGTGTGAAGTTATTACAAATGTTATACCTACCTCAAGTGTAGTTTATGTTGTATCTCTACTACAATCAACATTTGAGGTCAAAATGAATAGCTTGAATTGTGACGTTGACTGTCCTTTCAAAGTGTTTTCTAAAGTCATAGAATTTAGTTAAAATGTGCGACACATAAATATGCCTAGTATTTTAAACAATAATAACTTACAGACGCTCATAGCTGTTCCGGTTATTACCGATGTTGAACACTAGTGGTACAACTTATGCACAAATTTCTCTAGTTACTTATTCCATAAATAAAATGGTTGAAGAAAATTTCGTCAGATTTGTGATAGCAGATCATTAATTAGATCGGTAGAGTTGAAGAAACTATCGCTAGTTTCCCATGGTCAAAGTAAATTATTCAAACAGTCTTCATTTCCATATAAGAATGAAATCTTTAATTGATTTTTGAATATTTTATTATGACGTCACAAATTTTTATTCCATATATGCGTTTCTACAGAACCTACCGCTGCGCTGTTACTTTTAGTAAAGACAAGTCTAATCAAAACAGATTTAACTAGGTAGTCGACTACCGTATTGACATTTGCACGTACTGTATACTGTTTTATACGAGAAAATTGTTTGTTGTAGTTGGTTAGTCGAAGGGAACTGGACAACTTAGGTAGAAGTTTGTGGGTGGTGCGTTGCTTTATTTTACAGGTTAAAGGTAACTCAAAGCTTAAATAGAAATATAATACATGTAACCCACACTGTTCGGAAGCCTTCGTTATATTTGTGTTAATGTCTGAGTCTTTACTTTGTTTGATAAGCGCAAAGTTGTGCATTCGTCCCTTGCGTTGCTTGCTGGCTATACGTGGTTATATCTATATTGCACTGCTGCTGAATTTCTGGAATTATGTGACGTACCTTATATTGCAGCCATGGGCGTCGCGTGCTATAGTGCCATGATAGACTTTGAACCGGTCCCGGTCTTCTTGGCTGACCGGCCTTTCCTTGCTGCAATCTTCTCTGAAGGAGCGCCATACTTCATTTCGACCTTCCGCGGCGAACAAGAATAACATGTCTCTCTATTTTTTTTTTACTTTTTTATGTATATTTATTTGAGTATTATATATTTTGATAGCAGTTATTAAAAGTACCACACTCATGTATTTACATAATATATTATATGTGTAAGTAAGCATAACTATGTAATAAACGTATACTGCTATGAGTTGAAATTTAATTTAGTTTCCAAAATTTTTCTAATAATATGTGTTTGCATATGTTTCTAGCTGACCCGCGCCACTTCGTCCGCGTTTATCAAAAGGAATAAATTTCCCTCGTTTTTGCAACACTTTTCAATGATCCTCTCGGCTCGGCTCCTATTGGTCGTAGCGTGAAATTGTATAGCCCCTTCCATAAATGGGCTATCCAACACTAAAATAATTTTTCAATGCAATATGCCAATAGTTCCTGTGATTAGCGCTTTCAACCAAACAAACAAAATTTTCAGTTTTGTAAAATTAGTATAGATTCAAAATGCATATACCTACCTACCTACAATAAGTGCAATTGTGACGTAATCAACATCACAAATTGTTTTGCTGTGTAAGATTCTACAGAATCTACTGCTGTTTTGTTACGTTTAATAAATACGAACATATTTGACTTAACAGTCAACTATATATATATATCGTATAACGACCGGTATTCATGAGTACAAGCATGCCCTGAACGGATTAAATATCACTCAATGCCTTGCAGACCGTGTACGTAATGTGTCTCAGCTTGGTCGCCTCCGGTTTCGCTGCGTACGTAAGTATGTCATCACAACATCTCAACTAATTACTAATTTACATTCTCAAACGAACTTTTCATATTGTAAAATATTTTATTGCGGTTAAAAGCAAAGATTGCATCTTCCCTTTTTTTTTTACTTGTGGAAACCCCCTCGGGCCGTCACCCCACCGGGGCGGGGTGGTGTGTCGGATTCGGACCGACTAAAACCACACGGTGTGCCACTCTGCGCCATTAATAGGAGGGCTCCGGGAACTTCTGTTATATTGCATCTGCTAGACTCTTCTTCTTTCTTTCTTCTAGACTTTTATTGGGTATGTACGAAGTCGTCTGCGTATTGTGACATATATACTTCACCTATGCAATATATAGAGTAGGTAGCAATGTTGAAAAGTAATGGCGATAGTGGGTCACCATGAGCAAGACCTAGACTTGTACATCTAATTTATAAAATTCTCGTGTCGCGGTGTTTGTTACGTGTACGCGGTGGTGTTTGTACGCGTTATCAATATCAATAAAACACGCCAAAGTGGTAAGATCTCTTGAGAATACCGTCTGGACCCTTGTAACAAGTCTAATTAAACTATCTAAGCATGATTTAGATTTTCTAAAGCCTACGGTCTCTTTCGAAAACATCCCTTTATTTTCAAAGTACCACTCTAGTCTTTTGTTGATTATTGAATAAAATATTTTACAAACGCAAGGCATTAAACTATTTGGACGCAGAGATGAAACCAGAGAAGGGTCGCGGCCAGGTTTGTTGATGGGAACTACACAAATATCACGCCATGGCCATGGTGTGAAACCTGAAGTTAATTAATCACTAAAAAGTTTTGAGCTAAGTGTTTCATGATAGAAAAATGAAAATTATCACAACTCGGGGCTGTATCGCTAGTCTAAGGCCCGTATTTTAAAAGACGTCTCAAGTATCGGTTGAACTCTGATTGCCTGAAACTAGTTTTAAGTGCAGCTCGAAACTTAAGTATCGATTTTACTATACTTAAGTAGGTATTTATTTTACAAAGTATTTATTTCAGAAAGAGGAAATTGATAGGATACTCTGTATTTATTAATTTAGAAATACTTGATAACAAGACGATTGGCCAACAAAAGAAACAAATGTTCATGAGGTGTAAAATAAATAAATATCATGGCTCTAATGGCAATGCTCCAGGAGCAGGCTCGCCGTCAGGAGGAGCAGGTCCGCTGTCAGGAGGAGCAGTCCCGTCGCATGGAAGAGCAGTTACAGCGCGACAAGGAGGACCATTTCTAGTGGGACTAACGAGTTATTTAGTGATATCTTGTTTATAATAGTAAGTGGTTGCAGTTGGTGGGTGGTGCAGTAAAAGTTAAATTAACCGACGACTTTTATTTTTGTATACCCTGCACGTAACAGTATTAAATATCCAACGTTGACTGTATAATGTGATTATATCGTACTGTGATCGAAAGTTAATTCGGTATTCTACCATTCTTAGTTATATTTACTATTAGAAAAAACCTTTTATGACTCTACTCTGATAATAGAAAAAGGGTGGATCCATCTTAGGACTCTTTTGCAAATAAATATTTACAAATGAGATAAACAAACATCTTTTTAAAAAAAAAACCCTTTTCCTGCGACGATCACTCACTTTAGATTGACGTTTCACACCTAGTTTTCCTCCAACTGTGGTTGAATTAGAGGAAAACTAGGCTTAAATTAGCAAAAGATCAAATCAAAGAGCTCGTTTTAGCTAGCTTTCTTGGACCAAAACAAACTGCGTATGCCAATTAGAACTAGAGATATAGAAAAAGTAAGCTATAAAAACCTTCAAACCTTAGTAATATACAGAAGAAAATCACGTTTGGGTAACTATAACTTGAAAAGATGAAATGAAAAAAAATTAAGCAAATCGACTGGGTGGCTAATGGCTGGATGGACCCGGAAACAGATTTGTGAACATCAGGATGACGAGTGTACGTCGTATGTTACGTGTACGCACGAAAGCAATATTCTAGCAATGTGAGGAATGTGTTTTTTTTTTAAATAAACCTAACGATATCGCTAGGACGTATTCAAAATAAACTTGTGATTGGTTCTGTTAAGTTATATTCTCTATTAATGATGTAATTGTTCAACGGCCTGCCCTACTAACAGGCGAAGTCCCTTTTAGGTTTACTTTTTAATCATTTAATGTTGCCAGCATAAAAAGAAGTAGAAATAGGCCTCTCAATTTATTTCATTCTTAATTTCTTTCAAGAGCCCGTTATCGTCGACTCGCCTGCACCTGAAAATTATATAAGTTAATTACACGTCAAGACCCTGGAGAAAAATGAAAAACCTAATGGCAATTTACTTCCTGAAGATCAATTCTTGTAATAGAAATTCATTCAAAATTCAGTTCCGTCCAACTCTCCATCTCAAAAATAGGTTAAAATGTGTTTCCGTAGTAAAGTATTAAACATCCAAAGTTGACTGTATTGTGATTATGTCGTATTGTAACTTTTTTTTGCCTTTATATATTGTTAGGGACTTTATACATTCATACATGTCAGTCCCATCGTACCTCATACAGATTGTTACATGACAATGAGGGTTTTCTGAAATGTTCCACGTGAGATGGCGGCACTGTAGCGTCAGGTCCAACCACCTGTCAAAACACATACATGATTTGTATTTTTCGATAACTTTTTTTGGTTTATTCATTCTTAAAACCGTTACAAAAGAAATGTTATTTTCTAAAATGCCACAGTGTTGTGCAGTGTCTCTGTGTGCAAATAAAACTTTTGCGCCTCTCTTTTTGAGCTCAATCTTCAGTTCGGCAACCTTTCTCTGGTCGTAATCCATAATAAACTCAAAAACACTTCCAAATACATAGAATTTCACTAAAAATTATACGTTCAGTAAGAATCTGTGCTATCTGACAGCTGTTTGGACCTGACGCAAACGAAGCGCCGTCTGGTGGCAGAAAAAGTATCGAAAACCCTCATTTAGTTAAATTTAAATAAATCTTAGTGATACGAACAAACAAATTTTTGGCGGATTTTGATGTCGGCGAAGACAATATGTGGTGGAACATACCAACATTATTACTATTATATTTAACTCTTTCACCAGATGTTCTCTTTCAGATTGAAATCTGATACACTCCGTCAATAAGTGTGTCACATCCTCTAAAGTACCATAAACCTCATAGTTCAATGAATTCTGTTTTTTCTACAGTAATCCAAACCCATTGAGAGGAATGCGTCCAGATCTCAACCTGTGGGCGATTACAGTGATTTTTCTACTGAGGCCAGTGTTGGAAAACCATGGTATATGAGGAGGCTTCGATACTATAGTGTTACATCATATTCCATTTTCTTTCGAATTCTGATTATAATACACTTTCCAAATTTCATGACACTTTTTTTATATTTAGGTAATAATTCTTCACAATTAATTTTGATATTTAACTTATCCAATCGATCACCCCTCCTCGTTATCTTTTAGGCCTATGTGAGCTGGCACCCATTGCAATTTCAGATTGACCCCTCTATTATTAAAACTGCTTATTTTAAAAAGAAAATCATAAGGCGCATCGAGCTATGTGTTGAAGAGCACTTTGACTATGAGCGTTAAAATCTCTAACAATAAGGCAATACTTTAGGAACATAGAAAAAATTGTATCCCAATCTGATTGTGCTGTACGAGTATAAACTGAACTAGGACAATATATCAAAATTATATGTCGGACATAACTACAGTCATTTATCATAATACACAGCAACTTGATGCCTGAATTATTAACATAAATATTTAGTTCCTCAACGTTTACTGAATTATGTGATATAATAGCTACGCCACCATAAGAGTCGCTTCTATCCCGTCTATAAATGTTATCCGGATTAAAGTTAACACATTATCTCTCGTCCAGCGAAGTATCGCTAATTAATGCTATATGTACTTTCTCTTGTAGTAATAAATATTTGACTTCCTCTAGCTTAGGTCTCTGTGCATTCCACTGCATTATATTTATATTTATATACACCAGCCATCTTTACATATCTTCTCAGCCTATGCTTGTCCACTGCTGGACATAGGCCTCTCCCAATGATTTCCAGCGGGGACGGGTGATTGCGGCCTGCATCCAACAGTTTCCGGCAACCTTTACCAGGTCGTCCGTCCATCGGGTAAGCGGTCGTCCCACACTGCGCTTTCCAGTACGTGGTCTCCATTGGAGAACCTTGCTGCCCCATCGGCCGTCAGTTCTCCTTGCTATGTGTCCTGCCCATTGCCACTTGAGCGCGCTAATCCGTATGGCCATGTCAACCACCTTTGTTCTCCTGTGGATCTCCTCGTTGCGGATTCGATCACGCAGGGAAACGCCAAGCATAGCCCTTTCCATAGCACGCTGAGCGACTCTGAGCTTTCTGATTAGGCCCATAGTAAGAGACCACGTCTCAGTTCCGTAGGTCATCACTGGTAACACACACTGGTTGAAGCATTTCGTCTTTAGGCACTGAGGTATTTTGGACGTGAAGATGTTTCGTAATTTCCCGAACGCTGCCCAGCCGAGTCGGATTCGACGATTGACCTCTTTCTCGAAGTTGGACTTACCTAATTGGATCGTTTGTCCTAGGTACAACTTTATATAAGGCACCTCCTTCCTTCAGTAACTTCCAAACAAACTGAAAATATTCGTCTAATATAAAGCTACTTAATACTTTAAATTTAACATCCAAACTATTTTCAGATGAACAAACTTGTTTTACAGATATATACATGATAATTTATCTTTTAAATCAATAATGCGATTTGTGTTCTCATCTTGGTTTTCGGTTATTTCTTGTTGTATTGAGTTTTCTTTTATATAAAACGAAGCATTACGACTTTGATTACTTTTCTTTGTGTTTTGTTTTCTCTTTAATTATTTATTTAAGATGACAGATTCTACCGATACTTCTATACTTTGTTCTCCTAACTTTGCTGTTCGGTTGTTTAGGGTGCAGAGATATCTGATTGAGTGTTCGCCACTAATACGTCCCTGTAAATATGGTTTTCCTTTATTAATACTAGTTTTATTGTGAAAGAAAAATCCAAACATCGACATAAAATTAAGGGCACCATTATATGTCAATGTTTGGATTTTTCTTTTAGCTGTTCTAAATAAATAGATAAAGCTTTTCTATAATTGTAGTTCTTATCACACATGATTTTTCGTATCTGCTTTTCTCTAACGAATATGGGACATCATTTTTCTAAAGCCATATGATTACTTTTACAATTAATACATTTGTAATTCGTAGTATCACAGTTGTTGTGCTTCTCTCCACATTTTTGGCATCTTATAAGCTGTGTAGGGCATAATTTTGACAAATTACCAAATCGCCAGCATCCAGAACACTGCGATACAGGGAACCTAATATATGAGGTTCCACTTTTACCTAATGCCCATATACATATGTACAAGTGCAGGTAGTGTGGAACTCTTAAAACATACAGGGACTGCCTCATCTTCCACCCAGTCTCCTGAAGCATCAAGTTTCAATCTTCGCACCGTGTCAATTTGGTATACACACATGCTATATTCTTCTGCAAGTCTTCCATATCTACATCTGAATCAACTTGTTTCACCACACCATACTACAAGCTGACTTCCTCCACTAACATCACTACACACATCTATATCTTATATTAATAACATTTTCATACCTTAACATCTTTGAAAAACCAAATTGTTTCGGTAATACTCCATCTTTTTCGTCATACTAACAATAACACCATTTGTCGAGTGTATTTTTTTTCCCACTGGTACTACTATCAGAATTACTTGTCTTGCCATGTCTCCTTGCCATTCCTTCCTCTTCTCCTCTCCTGCCTTCTTCTTCCATTTTCTATCCGTTATAAACTAATCTTCTTCTTCTATGATTTCTTCATAGTCTTCTCTTATTATTTTTTCTGTTATACTTTGGATATCTGACAAGCTGTTATCTTTATCCATTATACACCGAATTACTGGTTGCTTCATTTGATTATGTAACTCTTCCTCCATTATATCACTACCACTTGAATAACAAATATCTGGCGAATCCTCCTCTGTCTATCGACATTAAAATATAAGTAGGTAGTTGTGAACAAAAAACAAATGCCGATTAGTAAATCGTCCGAGAAACATACGATACGCGCGGCACTGGGATTGTGACTTAAAGTTTAATCGATATTTTGCTGATCTTAGTGAGATTAAGAGTAGATCGGAATTTAATTTTAAATAATTGTTTATTACGAGAATTTACCTGTTGTCAGTAACTAAACAATAACAAATACGTTTTTGATTTACCTTATGAAGCTGTAGCTACTTAACTGTTTGTAATGGCCTCATTAGGGGAGGCCTCGGTAGACTCCGATGAAAAGAGGGACTCTGTCGGCACTGAGTAGCAAATACAGGTAAGGTCGGTCAGCCTGGAATTCACGGTAACGTGGCGCTTTCCGTTTTTTAATCGCCATTTCTGCACAATACATCGTCTATTTAGTATGTATATAAAAATGATAGAAATATAAATTACTGTAAGTTAACTAATGCCTGGTTAGTACTATTAAATGCTATTTATACAAGTTGTTCAAATTAGGTCTGTTTAGAAGCATTATTGAAAAAGCAAATAGTGAAAAGAAGGAGTCTTCAACTTTTTTTTTCTGGCGTATTAGCATTTTTATAAATAACTATTATATATTATACGAACATTTTCGGACAAAGCCGAATCCTATTAACATCGTTGAAACTCATTTTGACTGAGCCTCTTTTCTCCTACAAAATATCCAAATATCAGTTTATTTACAAGTCCAATTTGAGCTTTTTATAAATAGTTTTTACAAAAGCTGGTTCTGAGTGCTCTACGTCATATTCGTGGTCTTCTCACGCCTCTAACATAACCAAGCCTTCCTATTTTACCTTGGAAGTATATTAGAATATAATAGAGGGTCTTTCAAAGCCAACAATACACTCACTAGTAGCGGCGGCTGCTTCAGCACCCTCTTCGTTAACTTCAATAAATGCTTTTTGTACAGCGCTGGATACATAAAATCCCTCGTCGGTATTTAATAATTTAGTTATACCTGAATTTCTAGAATTGAAAATTGTAGAAATGCCAAGCTGAAATTATGAAATAGTTTTTAGTATTTTTTTTAACAAATTTCAGCGATAATGTGATAAACTCTACGTACCTCCGGTAACAAAATTTTCAAGTCTATTGTTGTTTCAATCTTAAATTTAGGGATGGTGACTCGTACTGTAGTTTTGTGCATTTTTTCAACATCAGCGAATAGATCGTAACCAGCGGCCAATTTAACCATAATATCGTTCAATCCTTCCATTTCCTCTGGTAACACAATGAGCATGCTTGCCTCCTCATCGATATATGGTATATCCAAAAGCTGGGGAATTGTGTAGGTTTAAATGAAATATAGATACTTTGGTAATATACACATAATTCATCATACACATTGATTAATTCATACCCACATAATTCATTCACATTGAAAGTGATAGTTATTATTTACTGAACATATTTCTATAATTAATTAAATATATTACCTACTATTTGTATTACCAATGAAGCAATTAAAAATGGATGTGAAATAATAGCATCATCACTTGCATCATTATGTATATAATACTTAAAAATGGGAACACACCTGTACAAATGTCAGACCCCAATATAATCTTACTTTATAAAAAAGGAAACCCTAAGGACATTAGCAATTACAGGCTAATAGTCTTCTATCAACTCTTTATAAACTCTTCTCTTCCAAAATAAAGAAAAGAATAACTAAAACTTTAGAAAAAAAGCAACCCATAGGTTTTCGTAAAGGATTTTCAACTATAGACCATATACATACTCTGGAACTTATTATCGAAAAATACCAAGAAAACCAAAGACCGCTCTACATAGCCTACATAGACTACCAGAAGGCTTTTGACACAATATCACACAATAGTATTTAGGAAGCATTAAATAAACAAGGCGTAGAGAATAAGTACATAAAAGTAATAAATAGTATATACAACAAAGTCAAACTGGTATCAATTGGCCCAAACTTTAACATCAATAGAGGAGTGAGACGGTGCGATCCATTATCCCAAACACTATTTATTGTAGTATTAGAAATAATCACACAGAATCCGTCATACAAAAATAAGAAGCATAACCAAAACAATTGATGCTCTCCAATATGCTCAAATACTGAAATTCAAGTGGGCTGGCAACGTGGGATGATCCTCAGGGCAATCGGCGTGTTGATAGGCCATATATGCGATAGTAGGACGACATCCGAAAAGTCGTTGGAGCAGACTGGATCACTGTGGCACGAGACAGAAGCAAATGAAAATCTTTTGCATTGTTTACCTATTTTTTTTTCATTTCATTGACAATTATTTAAATTTTCTGTTATTACCGAATTGAATTTTAATTGTTGTTAATTTAAATTATGAAACGATTGCCATAATAATTTATTATTATTTATATGTAATACGAAGTTAAATGGAATAAAAAATATATATTTAATTATAATAATATTTAACAATCAAGCATGTCATGTAAAAACGAATATTTTGTAGATGCATGGAATAAAAGGTTTTTTTATTTTTTTTATTTACTTATTATTAATAACTATTATATTGTTTAAAGAGGTTCTCCATATAATATTTTTATGTAGGTATAATCCAATAATACTAACAAGAGAAAACACAATTAAATTAAAAACAAAGGTAACTAATATAACTATAATAATCTGATGGCACAGGAACATGGCAATAAAGTTAGACAAAATGTCAACTCAATTCATTGAGAAGGTCAGGTGAATCTATCCTGCTCCTGATAATAATTTTGCACGCTGTTACCTTTAAGTTCTTCTACTTTCCAGGCGAGAGGAATTATACCAGAGGCGGCATGCCTTGGCTATAACTCCCTGGAATCTAGAAGAACTTAGAAAATAGTCAGAGAGGGGTAAGATACGCATGTACTCTTTCGAGTAGGACGAAGCATGATTTCTTGTGTAATTTCAAAACAGGAGCACTGATCAATTGACTTCGGATCTTCGGGTACCGGCAAGATATGTAATTATATTATTTAAATAATATTGATGGTATTGAATCTCTGCTCTAGTAGATTCAATTTTGAAACAAATAACAATACTTTATCTGTTTTTAATAAGTAATTAGAAAAACTAAATACCGATTTGACAAATTTCGTCTAATGTTTAGTAATAACGATTAGATTTATTTAAAAAGATTAGTTCAATCTTAATTCTAGGTACTCAAAATGTATTTGTATTTTCAGACATCTAACACAACGCCATCTAGTTTCAAACTAAGCAGAGCTTGTACTATCAAAGCTAGATTATCTGATAAAATACTTACATACTTTTTTTTGTAATAAAAAAATAATAAAAATTCTTTATTTAAAACTAAAAACACAGATTACAATATTTCAAATGTGTTTGATAATGACTGCATTAGTGAAACACTGTGGCGCAGTCACTAACGCCCACCTTTGGATCTGATGCAAACGTTCCATTTTATTCTACCACATTACAACTCTAAAAACTAAGCATGTGGAGTAAAACGTTGAGGATTTGAAAGTGTATGTGTGTTGTGTGTGAGTGTGTGTGCACGTGTGTGTGTGTGTCTGTGCGAGCGTGTGTGTGTGTCTGTGCGAGCGTGTGTGTGTGTGTGAGAGAGAGAGCGTATGTATGTGTATCTGTGTGAGCGTGCCTGCGTGTGGGAGTGCATGTGAGTGTGCGTGTTGCGTTATACACGGTGATTTTGAAAGCGTTTTGGAAACGAAATATTTGAATTTGGAATCATCTATAGTACCAATAAAAATGATTAAATCAATTGTAATGTTGTCTAAAAAAAAGTTTCAGTTTTAATATTCATTTTTACGCGATCGACTTGGAAAGTAGTAATGGACTGATCGTTCATTCATTATCATAAATGAATGAAACACGTCCGTGGGCGTTTCGGCGGCCGCTGCGCACCGCCGACGCTAACAGCAGCTGACAAAACTATACCTATAGGCGCGAGCTAGCGAGTACTTACGTAGATAGACTCCAATTTGTCCTTCATACTTTACACGGGCTTAGGACCGTCAGAAATACCTATTTTATTTAAACTTCTTTTCGATTATTAACCACGATTGTTCTTTTCACAACAAATCAATTTATCAACGGACTGTAGGTATAAATATTTCAGGCGTATTTAAAAATCGGAGCTATCTACAGAATAATTAACTTACATACCTATTTACACTATTTACAGTTCTCTGTATCGAAGGAACTGCTCAAAATGGAGTCCGCTGCATTCAATACACAAACGTCCACGTTTAATGCAATTGTTTTTTTAATTTTCTTAATGTGTCTCTATCACTTTTCACTTTAAAGCGTCCACTATCGCAATGCGTAAATTATCACGGCTTTCATATTCCCGTGTATTAACAAGTCTTTTTATTTCCGACCATAAGAAAAAATCCAGGGGCGTTAAGTCCGATCACTAAGCTCATTGTCCAGGTATGCACGCACTACACTCCGGCGAATAATAATTAAAACGTCCTTGACCTTGCGCATGAGTAGGCGCACGAAATTGTCCGTGGTCGAGAAGACGTTGGGTTGCAGCCAAGATGGTAGGTGTGGAGGGAATTTGAGGGCTTTCAATTCCACGTAGCCGTAGTGCATTTAAATGCTCCGGCTTGGGAATACAAACGCCGAGCCTCTTCCAAGTTGTAGTTGGCAGTAGCGTACAGCTGTACCATTTCCAAGAAGTATTCCACGTTTGAAAATTCGTACTGTCGACTCATTTTAGCGCTAATCAATACAGCGTGCCGTCACGATGTTATGGTATTACTGACCGACTGACGATGACAGGTGAGCCCCGCGCATGCGCCTACGGGGCAGACGTCATTGGTTGGACGACTCCGGCGCAACTCGGTAGCTTTGTTTTTATTGGCGAATACGATTTGATGTGACTCGATATTAAAACGCATAGTATTTCTATTCGTAGTATTTACCTACGTGTGATTGAATAGCCTACTACTACTGGTTCTGACTTTTTCTCTGTAAACGATATGAATATCGACTTTGATGATAAAAAAAAAATTATTTTATTAAATTAACGTTATATATAGCTTCTGTTACTGATAAATAACTCAAAATTTTCTTTTCCAAAACGCTTTCAAAATCACCGTGTATAATAGATGCGACTAAGTCTTCGGTGTCTTCGTAAGTTAGAGCAAGCAGCCATTCAGTAACTCGCGATGATTGATTGTAAATACACACATATTATACATAGAAAACACCCAAACTCTGAAACAAGTATTTGAAGACCATATAAACGTTTGGTCCGACCTAGGAATCGAACCCGAGACCTCAGCACAGCAATCGCATACACTACCACTGCACCACCGAGGCAGTCAAGGCACTAAAAATTGCCCAAATAACTACCCCCTTAGTCTAAAACTTGTTATATTCGATAGTATATCACTATATCGTGTATTAAATATACCTGGGCTTGGAGTTCTTCACTGAGGCCGTAAGGGTAATCAAATTGTTTGAACATCATAGGAACTTCAACAGTTGTAACGGCATTCACATAAAATGGATGTTTCATAGTGCCTGACGGGTTAAACTGGTCCTTCCAGGTCCCCTATTAGGCAAAATTAAACACTTTATAGTCAAATTATAAATAAATAAACAATCTTTTTTATTCAGTAGATACAACCAGAGAATTAAAATCATGTTTAAAGTTAATAATTATGTTTAAGTACATAGCAGAAGAACTAGGAAGTGTTCACATTACCTTAAAATAAATAGCATTAACGAGTACGAGGCGAGTCGAACTGCCTACATCGCTGGTTGACAGTAGATTTTTAATTTTATTGTTAGTTTTTTTTTCAACCTAAAAAAAATAATCAATAAAATAACCAATCGTAAAGTCAATTGAACAAACATGAAACTTCAGTATCCTCATTTTATGTGCTGATGTTGTGTTACTTACCCATTCATTTACATTACTGACGACGGATACGGTGTCACTAAAATTTACTTTCTCCATTTCAGAGTCAAATATTGCAACGGCATCTTCTTTGACCTTTGTGTCCAGGTCATATTCGCCATCTTGAATGTACACCTTATTAGCGATACTTAATGTCACACCCTTTAAACTTTTCACTTTAGACGTTAACGTAGAAAATAATGAGCGAATCTGAAATAGTTTGAAAATTTAAATATTATTCTATGATTGAGGTGTACAGGAAAAGGCTTTCTTATGTGCATCTACGCACGGCTGAAATAGTTGTAGATTGCTAGAAATCTTATTTCAGAGCACTGTCGGGAGATTTAAAATTTCTTTATGTTGGTATTCCATATATAATAAGCCATCTTAATAGCTGAATTCTCAAAGAGATGCTCACCGAATCATCATCGGGGAAGCCGAGTGACGTGAGAAGTTCTGAGTGGGCCGGGCCAGTGGTGCCTAAAGCCAATAGAGCAAGTAAAAATTCGGCTGATAGCGGTGATGATATGACGTTCTTGTCTTTCTTCAATTCCTAGAATGATAAAGTCAATTTGTACAATCTAAATCAAATCTTAGGTTGTAACAGTTATTTTTTAGTATACACGGTGATTTTGAAAGCGTTTTGGAAAAGAAAATTTTGAGTTATTTATCAGTAACAGAAGCTATATATAACGTTAATTTAATAAAATATATATATTTTTTATCATCAAAGTCGATATTCATATCGATTACAGAGAAAAGAAGAAACCAGTAGTAGGGCTTCTCAATCGCAAGTAGGTAAATACTACGAATAGAAATACTATGCGTTTTAATATCGAGTCACATAAAGGTCGCGCGCTCAAGCGCAAGGTCAAGGACGTTTAAATTATTATTCGCCGGAATGTAGTGCGTGCATACCTGGACAATGAGTTAAGTGATCGGTGGATAGGTCGAGGACGGCCAGTGCCTTGGCCACCTAGAAGCCCGGACTTAACGCCCCTGGATTTTTTCTTATGGTCGGAAATAAAAATACTTGTTTATACACGGGAATATGAAAACCGTGATAATTTACGCATTGCGATAGTGGACGCTTTTGATTAAGTGAAAAGTGATAGATACACATTAAGAAAATTAAAAAACAATTGCATTAAACGTGGACGTTTGTGTATTGAATGCAGCGGACTCGCATTTTGAGCAGTTGCTTCGATACAGAGAAGAAGTAGAAGAGAGAAGTGTAAATAGTGTAAATAGGTAGGTATGTAAGTTAATTATTCTGTAGAAAGCTCCGATTTTTTAAATACGCTTGAAATATTTATACCTACAGTCCGTTGATAAATTGATTTGTTGTGAAAAGAACAATCGTGGTTAATAATCGAAAAGAAGTTTAAATAAAATAGGTATTTCCGACGATCCTAAGCCCGTGTAAAGTATGAAGGACAAATTGGAGTCTATCTACGTAAGTACTCGCTAGCTCGCGCGTATAGGTATACTTTTATCAGCTGCTGTTAGCGTCAGCGGTGCGCAGCGGCCGCCGAAACGCACGGACGTGTTTCATTCATATAAGATAATGAATGAATGATCAGTCCATTACTACTTTCCAAGTCGATCGAGTAAAAATGAATATTAAAACTGAAACTTTTTTTTAGACAACATTACAATTGATTTAATCATTTTTATTGGTACTATAGATGATTCCAAATTCAAATGTTTCGTTTCCAAAACGCCAAAACGCGATTTTGTTTGATTTATCCAAAGTAGTTTGTAGCTACAGTATTGATGTTCTTCGTTCGCCGTCGGACCACTAGATGGCGTTTGTTTTGTAGATAGGGCATTTTATTAATTTATCATGACAAATTGTATAGGTGTTGGAAGTGTTCTGTTATGGTAGGAAGCGAGTTACTTTTGATTTTGTTCGTGTTGACTTCGTTGATTTAAATGTCAAATTGAAATGTTAAGTAGGGATTATTTCTGGAAACTTCACAATCCGAACATAAAAAAAAAAAAAAACTAACTATATAACTAAATATAAGTCCGGCTTTCAGCCACGGGTTACACTCTGCTAACTCGTGTCTTCCAATCTTAAATAGTGTATTGATTGTCTTGTGATTTTATTTTCGTAATATATTATCTGTTCAAAGTACCCACGAAAGTGGTGAGTATATTCTTATTTTTTCTTGTACCTATTTGTTTCTGGAACCTGATCGATAATATGAGTGCTAAACCATTCGAAGGGTCCCAGATTTCGGGTCAAGACGGTCAGTCTTAGACGGCGTGCTTGTTCGTTTGTGGCCTTCTGGTTCGAATTTAAGTTTCTCGGTAACCTCTGGCAAGCTGGCAGTCACGCGGCTCACAAAGCAAGCGGACAGCCGTACTCAAGGGTTACGTACTTCTCGTTAACTTTATTTATACCAATTATTAATACCAATAGTGAACTTTCCTCAATACCTAATATAAATAGCCGACTCGGGCGGAAGGGGAAGTGACCTCCTGGAGTGAAGACGAGGAGGCTCCGAGCACCATCAGCTCGGCTCTGACGCGCGCTGCTGCGGTTTTTCTTATACCCTCTAATTAATTTTTTTTTTTTATTATTGTAACTTAAAGTTTTTATTGAAATATACATGTATGTAGGACTGAGGTGTAAGTTGTTTTCCTCTAAGGAATCCCGTAGGTTTCCCACACGCACACACTTCTGTTCTCATACAAGGCGCCCTGAGGTAATCTCGTAAATCTCTCCACTGGGTCAGCCGGTGAGTAGTCCGCCTGACAAGAAAAGCGGCTACAAGGTTTCCATATCAAGGTTGTAGTGGTGACAGGTGAGGCCATCTGTCACCCTAGCAGAAGCAGGCCGGGGTGGCGGCGAGCGCGTTGCGAAGCGCGCTCGCTTCCAGGGAGCACAGGGAACATGGGGTTCCCACACGGGGGGGGGGGGGTCCGTCTACTCGTCTGTAGATGACCCGAGGTATGTCGGGGCACCAGGGACTTCCTTTCTAGGGTATACCTGGTTCCCCGGCTATTAGTACCCGAGACGGCGTGCGGTTTTAGTCAGTTCGAGTCCGACATGCCACCGATAGTTGGCATCCGAGGGGATTTCCGCACGGAAAAAAAAATAAAAAAAAAGGGGAAAGCGGTGGAATCGGAACCACGGAATAATGATTGAAATTGAATTGGAAGAAATAGTATTAACGGAAAAATAGTACTATAGAAAAAGCAAAAAGATCCTATTTAAAGACGAACAAGCTTTCAGATTAATTAGTCAATTACCATAATATCTGTAAGTAACTGTGGTGCATTGTGACATGTTTCATGTTCATTACGTTATGATTGTTTTTAAGTAAGTACCTACATAACACTACCTTTGACCCTAGGCCTTTAGAAACATACTAAATGTTTCTAAAGGCCTAGGTTAATATACCTAATTACATTTCATATGAAAATGAGTTTCAGTTATTTATACAAATAAATAAAATTGAAGTGTCTGTTTGTAATGTCAAAACAATAGGTTTTTTCATACTCACACGGTTATTTGCACGATACCTATGCCTAAAAACCAGTTTAAATATTTTTGAAGAAAGAACTTCTTTAGAATCGTTGTGATTTGAAACTCGATGAAACGAAAATGCGAAACTCAAGTGGTTCAGCAGTTCTCCATCTACCCGTATTCCCTTCGTTTCCCAATCTAGACGTCTAAAAATAGATTCGAGCACTGCTGCGAATAGTTTCGGGGAAAGTGGGTCCCCCTGTCTTACTCCTTTTTTTATGGGAACTCTTCACGTTCTAGGCGTACTTTAGCAGAACCTTTTGTATATATATTTTTGATTAGGTTTACATATTTTTAGTTGACACCTTGTTGTGTGAGTTATGTCCATGTAGCTTCAAAGTATAGCTTCAAATGCTTTTGTATAATCTATAAAGCACATATGTAGCGTCTTTCCATACTCCTTTGCTTTTTCGATTACTTGTTTTACAGTTTGAATGTGATCTATAGTCGAGTAGTTTTTCCGGAACCCTGCTTGTTCGTGTGGTTGGTGTTCATCTAGAATCCTTGTTATCCTATTCAATATAATCTTTGAAAAAAAAATTGTACAAGTTTGACATGAGACTAATTGGTTTATAGTTGCCTAGATCGCTTCTATCCCCCTTTTTGAACAGTAGTATGATTGTGGATTTTGACCATTGGTCTGGTGTGGTTTCCGTTCTAAGTATATTATTGAACAATATTTGCAAAGGTTTCAAGAGTATGGCGGACAGAGCTTTAAGGATTTCGTTGTTAATATGTGTTTGTTTTTATTAAATTTGTATTCCCGGGAAAAAATGATCAGCCCTGATCAGGCATGAACAGGCATGAGTCGTCAGGCCTGATCAGACCTGAAAAATGACCGGGCCTGATCAGACCTGATCCGGCCGGATCAGTATTGAATTTTTTAGCTTTTTGGACTCGTTTCAGTTTTTTCCTTCTTCATGTTGTCGCGTTTATATTCAGTGATCTTTTGGCTCATTTCCTTTAAAATGATTTGTCGACTTTGAATCGGCCACTTCCTCTCAACGGCTGTATGCATCGCAAACTCTGCAAAGTTCGTTCATAATGAGTCACATCACACCTCGATAATAATCCATATTTACGGTCACATGGGGTCAATTTGAGTACAAACCCAAAGAATTACGCTCCAAATTAAACAATTAAATGCTAATTATTGTAAAATTATTCTCTGGCATGCAAGTAAAATTGAGCAGTCAAATTATTGATAGATTACGGCTTTAAATGAGGCTTTCGAATGAAGTTCTTAAAGCAGAGATTTAAAAAAAACGTTAGAGTCAATTTGACACAATGTTACCTATTAGGATTAGTAATTAAGAAAAAAAACTCACCAACGATCGCGTCTTTCGCCTGTTGATCTAATGGTTTTACAACAGCTGATTTTTTATCTTTAGTCCTTGGAGCCTGCCCTGTCAATGTGCATCCCATCATGGCATCGTGGTTAAAAACTCCTTCTAACAACCTTCTTGCCAAATGCGTTGATTTATGAGAAGCTCCTAGCGCTGAATCATAAATTATTTTTCGGCAGTAAACATTATTTCCTATGTTTTTCATCTAAAAAATTAATTTATTTAAAAATAAATGGTTGTATTTATTAAAAATAGCATTATTTTTTTACTATCACTTAAATACCCTGATTAAGAAATCTAATTTGAATCGATTTAAAACAATTTGAATTAATTTAAAAGCATCTAATTTGAGTACTTTATAGATATACATTTAACATGGAGGTTATCATTTTAAATCATATTTCTGAATGATGGTACATAAATGAACATGAACTCAGTATTCATTAATGAAATTTCATCAATATAATTATACACATAAATTATACATACGTTCGCTGAATCATAATCAGGGGGAAATAATTGATCCGAATTTTTTTTCAAAGCTTCGCTGAAAACGTAGCTTACTTTTCCATCGTTAATGTTCCCCTCTCCCGATTCTAATTGATTTAAATCGATTGCATTGACTTTTTTCGGAAACAACGCAGCTCTTGAAGACTTTTGAATTGTTAAACTATCAGATCTCGAGTTTTTCTTGTCGTGCTGCGGTATTATTTCATGATCTGAATCACATTCACGAGCTTTATTTGAATTTAATACAGCATTTGAAACCTGCTTATCGTTTTCTGAACTTTGAGGTAATAAGTTATTCTGTTTTTCAGCTAAAAGCATCGCTAATTGTTGTTTTAATTCTTCCTTAGATGGGCTGATATTTTCTTTGTGTCTTGATGGTGTCTCATCAAAATTAGTTGGTAAAAACGAATCATAATTTTTATCAAGACTTTCTTCAGATATATTTGATGAAGAACTAGACTCTGAGTTTTCCGATGCTTTTGTAGATTTTTTATTTTTTAGTGTCGTTTTAAGTTTCTGTATAACAATATAAACATTTCTCAATTATTTGTAAATAATCAACACTAAATATTAATATAAGAAAATTAATTACATGCCAGAAAAATTAAAAAATTCAATATTTTGAGAGTTTAATTAAATATAAGGTAATTCATTTAAATTGATATAACACGTAAGTAAATTGAAATTTATTAAAATTTATATTTTTTTCAACGAAAAATCGAAAAAAAAAAATCTAAACATTCTATTTACAGTTTCATAACTATTTTGCGAGTGCAATTTTTTCAGTTTCGTTTTCAAAATGAATTTTAAGCTAAGAAGATAACTGAAATTGATTTTGCAATCGTCTAATTTTAGAATTATTAAATATTTAGGTTTAATTTTATTTTAATCATAACGTCAACTTACATTCTTTGAAATCTTTAGTTTTTTCGGAGGTGGTGAATTTTCTGGACTCCAGCTTCTCTTTGGCATCAATATTCGTTTCGAACGATTAACACCAGCTGTTACTTTCTTTTTTTGTTTGCTGATTGTTTTATTGAAATCTTGCCTTCGTTTTTGTAAAAATTCGGAATTACCTATATAGATATTAAATATTAATTATTGTATGTAAAAAAATAATAGGTTATTCATCAAATTTAATGGACTATTACAAATGAGAATTATTCATATATGACAGAAATAATCTAATATTTAACAAATATTTTGGAAAATTTCACACAAAGTAATTAAAAAAATATGAAATTTATTTAAAGAATATATTTCACCAGGAGTAATGTATTTACTTAAAAAAAAATATTGTTTTCAAATGTTAGCAAATTTAAGTTTTTATAAATGTTAAAAATAATGATTGACTATATATATATATGTGGTTATTAGGTTATTATTAAAACAAGTTTTAGGTTATGTATACTAAATATATTTTCAATAAAATGCTAATGTAACCTTTATGTCGATAAACAAAAATAATTAAATATCTTACTTGAAAAGTCGATCACTTTGTCTTCATATTGTCGTTTTTTCATATTGAATTTAGTAATATCATCTTTAATCAGCTCGTGAGGTTTTTTGTTGTCATGCTGTATGTCATCATTATCGATGATATAGGCGCAATTGTCATCATGGCATTGAATTAAAAACATGTTTGATGCCTCCACAAACAACACAGATAAATTTGGAGAGTGAAATATTTAAAGTTTAATTATTTAATAAATCACATACAATTGCACATAAACAGACGCTAGTAGAAGACGCACACAGTTTATACTCTTATTATGCGACGGCAATTCAGTGTTGCCAACCTCAAAAAACTAAAAAACAGTAACTCACCAATAAAAAAAGAGTAGAAAACAGTAGGTAAAGTGAAAAAGCGCAAATTTCATACTTTCCTGATACAATTAACGGCGGGATCACATGTACTTTAATAATTCACTTGAAATATGTAGCCATAGAATCCAATATACGGTACAATACGGCTGTAACCTGTCACCTGGCTATCATTCTATATATACACTGGGAATTCCCGTGTATAAAATATGACTGTCAATCACATAGATTGTGGTCGGGGAATTCCCTCAAATGCCGACAAGTGTAGATACAGCCATCTAGTGTCACTGCATTATATTTGATAACTAGACATCTAAGTTTTTATAAAAAAAAAATTGCATAGTGTAATAGGTGGCGCTGAACGCTAATTGAAAAACAGTAAAAATTAGGAATGAAACATAAAACAGGGGCATCAACGTAAAAACAGTAAATCTACTGTTAAAACAGTAGGGTTGGTAACACTGGACGGCATCCATGTTGAAAGTGAAATACACCGCTGTGTCACGTGACATATAAAGTTGTGTGCTATACATGAGGACACTCACACATAGCTGTGCCCATATATATTTACTTGATGACTTGTGGTGTGTGATATATACATATGATCAGTATACCCACAAATGTATATTATGTAAACATTGCAAATAACACACTAATAAATTTAATTATTTCAAACACAAGTTTTAATTAAATTATAAAATTTAAAAATTATTTGAGCAGAGAAAATCAAAATATTAACCTTGAAGGTAAGAACACAAAGGTCTTTTCTATAAGAGAAATTTACAATGACCAGTTATTTATTATTAATTTTTAATTATGTAATATATATGTTTATTAAAATAAAATAGTAATTTTGTAAATTTCAAGACTATATCATGAATTTAGAAGATATTAAATTATCGTTGTAGTTGAAAGAATAATTAATAAAATATAAATAAATCGAAAGTAAAAGAATGCATTGGTTAGGAAATGGAACAAAAGGTATATATATATATATCAATTCATTTATTTACAATTCAAAAAATATTTTATTATATATTCTATTTCTTCTAAATTCATAATCATAGTTTCATTCTTGTAATTTAAAAAAAAAAAAAATATATTTATTCAGGGTTGATCTAAAGATGTCAAGCACGGATGGAGGATTGCCAGAACGTGATGCTGATTTGTCACTACCTCCATTAAAAAAATATAAACGGTGGAAAGAAGATGATACCGCTCCGGTATGTATATATATATTAATTTATTTAATATAATATATAAATTAATTTTTGACCTCATGTTGTTATATAAAAACGATGATTCTGAGCTTATAGCTTACATTAAAAAAATATTAATAAAAAATTTCCAAAGAAGCATTATAAATTTCAAGACTGCATCTATATTATAAGTTAATAAGTAAATATACCCATTACTTTATTACTAATATAATTATTTTCATTTCTACTGCAGATACCGACAAGAACATTGCAACGATGGGAGAGCAATACACCTAATAATTCTAGCTTGAATGATAACTGTAGTGGTTGTACATCAACAAGTATTTTGATTGCGGACCATGTAACAGAAACCGGAGATGACAATTCAAGGTCAAACGAATGTGATAGTGATTTTTCTAGTAGTGATAGCAGTACTGATAGTGATACTGAGGATTTTTCTGACATGCATGATAGCGATGATGATACAGATAATAGTGATGTTGTAATGAATGAAGATAATCATGATACTGACAGTAATTTGGATGAAAATGTTGAGGACACTTGCCATGATAGCGATTTAAGTGAAGAAAAATCTTCAATACTTCAATATCTCTATGAAAATAGCACAATAAGTACTGATGAAAGTGTTTCAATGGTTTTAGAACTATATTTACGACATAAATTAACTAAAGCTTGTTTAAACGATATTTTAAAATTATTGCAAAATTTCTTACCGGAAAGTAATCAATTACCAAAAACTGTGTATCAATTATTTAAATACGTACATCAATTAGCACCTCCGTTAAACATTATTAAACATTTTTATTGTAAAAAATGTTTTTGTTACAATAATTTTAACACAGAGATTGAAAACTGCTCTTTTTGTCACGCTTTGAAAAAAGATTTTGGTATTTTCTTCGAAATTAATGTACACGATCAGATTAAACACATGTTTGAGCATCGGAATCTTTTTAAAAAATTGATTCAAGTGCATCAGAAGGATGATGGTAATATTACAGATATTACAGACGGGTCTGAATATATAAAAGTGAATTCTAGATTGAATCGTCAAAAATACGATTTAACATTAGTGTTAAATACGGATGGTCTTTCGTTAGTAAAAAGCAGTGGAAGTCACTGTTGGCCAATAATGTTTTTCATAGCGGAACTTCCAGACTACCTCAGAGAATTATATTTGACGACAATAGGCCTCTGGTATGATACAGATTGCAAACCACTTATGAACACATTTCTGGAACCGTTTGTCACAAAGTTCCAACAATGTTTCAAAGATGGTATTGTGTGGACCCATCCCGAGACGGGTGAAGAAATAATTTCAAGAATTGTAGTTCCCTTGATAATAGCGGATGCACCTGCAAGAGCTCAACTTCAAAATATTTTAAACTTTAATGGTCGTTACGGGTGTAATATTTGTGAAATAAAATCAAAAAAATGTCTTGCTGTTACCGGAAAAAAAACAATACGTATTTATAAATTTGAGGAAGCTACATTAAGAACTGGAAAAAGAATCAAACATCAGGTCCTCAAAGTCATGAATTGCGATAAAAGTCATGTGAAAGGTATCAAAGGAAATTCTATTGTATCAAGACTGCCTTTGAATAATATGGGAACATGCTTTATCCCAGAATATATGCATTCTGTTTTATTAGGAGTTGTTCGACAATTCACAAATTTGTGGCTAGAAAAAAAAGGACCGTGGAAACTAAAAAAAGACCCTGCAATTAAAGAAATCGATTCTTTTATGTTAAATATTCGACCACCTTATTTTTTTGGAAGAATGCCACGTAAATTAACATTATTTAAACATTATAAGGCTTCTGAATTTTATAATTGGGTTTTGTTCTACTCTCTTCCAGCGCTAGATAATTATTTACCAGTTAAATTTATTGACCATTGGATACTCTTAGTTAAAGGCCTTTTTAGTTTACTTCAAAAAATCATTACAGAGGAAAACCTCAATGAAGCACAAGATTTATTTTCGTCTTTTGTCGAAGAAGTTGAGACTTTATATGGAGATCGAAAGTTAACATATAATGTTCACCAACTTCTGCATCTTGTTCTGTGTGTTAAGCGCTGGGGGCCTTTATGGGGTACAGCAGCTTTTCCTTTTGAAAGCTTTAACGGATATATCGCCAATTGTGTTCATGGTTCAAAACATATTGGACAAGAAATAGTAAATCACTTAAAAGAAGTTCAAGCATTACAGTTTCTGAAAAGTAAAATTACTGGAAGAAATTCTGAGTCGACAGGCGAAATAACAAATTTTCGAGCAATTGGACAAAATATTAATAACATAATTTTGATACCTAATGATACTCAATTATTGAAAGATTATAATTTTGACATAGAAAGTTTGAAAATTTATTCACAAGCCAAAATTTTTAATGAGATCTACACATCTGAAATTTATAAGATAATCACAACAAATAGTCATACAGTGCAAATTGATTTTAAAAATAGTACTACAGTCTACGGCTCGATTAAACTTTTTTTTCTGACTGAAGATAAGTTGTTTTCTTTCATAATCGATGAATATGTTATAGATAAGACTAAATATTTTGTTCATTCAACAAAACAAGTACAAGTTGAGCATATAATTCCTTTTAAAAAAATTAATTCTTCCTTACTAATCAATTATTATCAAATAAACAATATGTGTCATCTAATTGCAGTGGGCAATTATCTATGTAAGCGGCCAAATATGTTGCGGAAAATTTTTTGATTTGTTCCATGATATGTACATTTATTTCAATAATTTAATTTGTGTCTAAAAACAATAAATTTTATTATCCAATTTACAAAATTATTTTGACTATATCATTTAAAACCTTTTGTTTGATAAATTCATCTAGACTATAGTAACTATAGTTACGAATTAATTTTTTAAAATTTCTTCCAACATTTCAGGCTTGATTCAGAGGCGACTGTTTGAATCAATTGATATATATGATATATATATATATATATATATATATATATATATATATCGAATCAACATGTCTGGTCTGATTCAACTCGAGTTGGATCCAGTTGGTCCAGCTCGATCGAGCCGGCATATAAAGATATAGGAATAAATAATTAAGATTTAACTATTAATCAGACCTGATCATGTCTATTCATGCATGATCAGACCTGAACGTATTTAACACGTCAGGCCTGTTCATGCATGATCATGCCTGATCAGACCTGCAGTGTTAAATACGTCCAGGTCTGATCATGCATGAACAGGTCTGATCAGGCCTGATCAGACCTGCTCATGTCTATTGATGCATGATCAGGCATGATCAGACCTGGGCCGTAAAATACATTCAGGCCTGATCAGACATGATCATGCATGAACAGGCCTGATCAGATCTGAACGTATTTTACGGCCCAGACCTGATCAGGCATGAACAGGCATGATCATGTCTGATCATGTCTAACGTCAGGTCTGATCAGGCATGAACAGGTCTGATCAGGTCAAATTTCAGGTCTGATCATGCATGAACAGGTCTGATCAGGCCTGATCATTTTTTCCCGGGTTACCATCTAACATAAGAGAAAACTGTAAATCAAAGTGATGAATAAAGTATTATTATTATTATTATTTGTAGACAAGGGCAAATATCACGGAGTTTTTTCTCGAATAAATGTTAAAATGTTGCTCATTTAATCTATTTTTAACAGAATACTATTACTGTTGTATTTTTTGTTAGTTGTAAGTTTGATATCCCTGAAGTCTGATATGTATTGCAAGCAAAAGATTTAATAATAAAATTTTAAGTGTATAAGTGTATATTGTCGCTTCCTGGGGTCTTCTCATTTTTTTGTGATTTTATTGCGTGTTCGATCTCTGAAATGAGTTACTCCATTGAGCTCATTCGATTTTGTGCAGACGGCAGAGTCGGTGTTATCTGCGGCAGTGTAGAGATTTTGTAGAATTTTGTGGCTTCGTTTATGATTTCAGAACGATTCGATAGTGTAGTTCCCTTCTTGTTTTTCAGATTTCCTGTCCATTCTGTTTTGTCACTTAGCTCTTTGTAGGCTTTACGTAGAGCCCCTGTTTTACTTATAAATTTTTCAAGATTCTTTTTCGTATTGCTTTTTTTTTGTTGCATAATATTTCTATTTATTTTTTTGCTTATTCTTGTTAGTTCACATTTTACTTCTTTTGTTCTCTTCTTCTTGTTTAACTCTTTTCTCTGTTGTAGCAGGTCTTTTGTTTCATCATTTATATATTTGCTTATATGTTTTCTTTTTCGGGGTAACTGTCTTAAAAAAATGTGTAACTCTATTTCTAGCTTATCGTATTGATTTTGTACCGCTGTGTGTGTTAACTTTTTCAAAAAAATTATTTCCCCAGTAACCAGTGTCGTTTCCTGAAATATTCAGTGTGACACTAGTATAGTCGACGGATTTTAGTTTCCTTCTTCGTTCAATGACGGCTGGTATTAGTCCGAACAATTCCTCGGAGCACTCTCCATGATATATGCGATACAGAATGCAGAGTGAAGTGAGTGAAATATCATATTTTATTATTTGGTAAACTTCGATTTTTTACAAAAAAAAATCAAGTAGGCGGTATCAAAGTTCTGTAGAAAAGACTGCTGTCGGACTTTTTAGGGCTCTAAATACCGTAACGTACCGTAACGATTGCCACAGATGTACCGGGACCGGCGGCTTAACGTGCTCTCCGAGCCCGAAAGAGTCTCAATATAATAAGAATTGGTACATGTACATGGTACGAGTAACATCCATAGACTGACCTGGTTAGGATTGCTTAATTTTGCAATTTGTTAACCTAAACAGTTACCACTTTCTTTCTTATTACCCCATACTTGCTATGTCCGACATAACCACCGGTGGCTATGTCGGACTCGAACTAACCAAAAACCGCACGGTGTCTCGGATACCAACAACCGGGGAACCAGGTGTACCCTAGAAAGAAAATCTCTGGTAGCCCGACGTAGCTCGGACCATATACATACGGCGGGTAGATGAACCCCTACTGTATGGAGGACAGAGGTCGTTCTGCGACCTCCGGCGCCTGAGTCGTCTTTGGTACTGTTGGAGCGCCTACGTCGAATGTGTTAGCAATATGTTAACGCTCATAGTGTAAGCTCACTGTCACAATCCTGTCATGAATATTGTCTCATTTAATTTTTATAGTTTGTAAGTTCATTATAAAAGCTCACAGCATACAGTCCACACGCCTGCCTTTTTATTTCGTGAAGTCCTGAATTCCTAAACATGGTCCTATCGTACCGGATGATTGTTGAAGAAAATCAATTATACAAGGAATATCAACTAAAAATAAAATTAAAGAAGAAAATATTCACGGGCGTCAACTACCGGCGAAGTGGTATGTGAAAGGAGTACTTTGTGGTGTTAACTTTTATGCATAAACTATATCGTAACCCAACACTCTATTCAGGTAATATAAGCGAACTGTATTGAAAATATTATCAGGTTAGTGTATTATTATCAATTAGTGTAGTTTCATCGCATAGGTATCTACCGCACAGTTAATAGTAAATGTGAATAGTGCTTTTTAATCTTAAGGAGTAGCAGTTAAATTGCAAATCATACTTATTTGTAATAGGTATAGTAATAGTTAATATTACGTTATATCAATTTAATTGTTGAGATAAAAAGTTTAATGTAAAATTATTATTCACATATAAGTAGGTACTTGGGTGTAGATGTTAGATACAATTTGTTGAGTGTTTGATATTATTTGGTATGCAATAATTAGCGATTGTTAACATTTTATACCCGCATAGGTATACTGCTATACTCTTTCTTTTCTGTTTGTTAATATTTAGTGAGTCATTTTATAAAACGAGTTTGTACTTAGTATTCGCCTACTACCGTTGCCGTTTATTTAATTGTTCTGATTTAATGTTGTTACATAGTATAAAATAAAGGTTATACTTATTTTGTGTTTACGTACGCTTCATTATTGTAAATTACAGGTTTGATTCACCCGTTTCCCAGTATGGCCGAGGAAAGGGAGCTTGTAAAGAAGCGAGGGAGCTTTAAAGGCCGTTTAACCGCTTTCATCAATTATCTAGATGCCCTAACTGATCCTAAATCGATGAGTAGATGCGACGTAACGGAACTTCAGCTGCGTATTGGCAAGATTGAGTCGGTGTACGACCAATATGATGAGGTACAATTAAAATTAGAGTGTATCGTCGATGATATTAAATTACAATCATCTGAGCGTTCAGAGTTTGAATCCCTGTACTATAAATCACTTTCTAGGGCTCAAAATCTATTAAGCGATTTAAATAAAGATAGTGAATCTGTTCACAGTGGTAAAAGTACCCGCGCTAGTTGTTATAAGCCAGTCAAGTTACCTACAATTCAGCTGCCTAAGTTCAATGGGTCTTACAACAACTGGTTGGAGTTTCATGATACCTTCACGAGTCTCATCCACTCTAATGATGATATCGACGACATAAATAAATTCCATTATTTACGTACTTCTCTGGAAGGTTCCGCTGCTGTCGTCATACAATCTATCGAGTTTTCGGCATGTAATTATACTGTGGCATGGAATGTACTATGCGAGCGCTTTGACAACAAGAGGTTGTTAATACATAACCATATTTCGGCTATATTTAACATTGATAATATTACTAAAGAATCATCAGTTACTTTAAAGGGATTAATTGACCAATTAAATAAAAACCTACGTTCTTTAGAATCTTTAGGCGAACCCGTTAAGCATTGGGACACTCTTTTGATTTACATAATTACTCGTAAGCTAGATAGCAAAACGTTTCGTGAGTCGGAGGAGTATAAGGGTCGAATAGATAAAGATAGTAAAATTACCTTTGATACATTCCTTCAATTCATACGCGAGCGCGCTGATTTAATAGAAATGTTAGAGTTATCGCGAGATAACTCGTCCCAGCCGAATATTAAGTTCAGTAAGGTTAAATCTATGGTGGCTGTGCAGGGTAACAACAATTCTAGCATAACTACAATTACGAAAGTTTGTCCTAAATGTAAAGGTGACCATCATTTAAATAATTGTGCA